AATCAGGTATCAACCAACCTTTACTTCTGCAGTTTGTAAACTCCTGTATTTTACCTATTGTACTCTATTGCTCTCCATTAATCTTTCCTGAGCTTCTCAAAAAAGACTATATCATAATACGAAGAGTATTAAATGCTGTGAGTAGGGCTTATGGTATGCCACTGCGTGAGCTAGTCAATACTATAGTCGAGAGACACATAAACTCCTGTACAAAATGAACTAAGGCCGAACTGTCAGACCCCAAGTACCCTCTTTATTCACAACTATCCTCTTTCATCTTATCAGGTAGGACGAAAAGTCAATATAAGAAGTTATATGCTTGAACCACTAAGTACATAAATTCTACAATACCCTCATTTAGCCTGTATTTTATGTGATGAGAACATTGTTAGACGTGAAACATATAAGTTACTATGTAATTAGCAAAGTGAATCGACCCTTTCATTGTTCATCTTTCTGTAATTCTATGGTGTTACACTTTCTATCGTTTAATTATAACTTTGCTATTTTATTTTAGCTGTTATTACTGTTATTACTATAATTTTATACCTTATGCATATTTTTCTCCGTATCGCATACTGTAATTTCCTACATAGCCACTATAACAACGTTTTGTTATTATTATTATGCAATGTTTATTTTTTTTGTCGTTTTTGAGTAAATTAGATGCAATATTGCACTGAATGCGAAAAATTCCTTGCTGTATCATTAGTACTGTTTTTTGGAATAAAGCAAAAATTATTATTATTAATCCAACTCCAAAAATATGGGGAAAATGTGTGGATGTCACTTTCACAGTGTTAGAAACAGAACATGTCTCTAGCTTCTTGACACACATAAACTCACCAATAGAAGGAATAAAATTCACATTTAAATCTGAAAATGAACAAGGAGAATTAGCTTTGCTAGACTGTAAAATAAAACGAACAGAAGAAGCTTAACTGCGTTTATAAAAAGCCAACGCGTTCTAGTAGATATTTAGACTTTAAATCATCTCATCCGTTGTCTGTAAGATCCAGCTTAGTTAAGTGTCTAACAAACCGAACAATAGCACTAAGTAGCACATAAAAGACCTAAAAGATTAAATGAAACAAATAGGAGAAGCCTTGGTGTTGAATAATTATCCTATAAAATTCATTAAGAAGATCAGAAAAGGCCAAAAACAAAATAAAAGTAATGGGGAAACTAATAATGGTAACAAAAATAAGAGAGAATATAAGGCATCACGTGCGTGATAAGACGAAGGATTCTCAATCAGACAGGAATTACACTGGCATTTAAACCTACAAACTCACTCACGCAGGACAAGCTCTGTAGGTTAAAGGACACAGTCAACCCAATTAGACAAAATAATATCACTTACAAAATACCGTGCAATGACTGTGAGTAAGGTCAACTACATAAGTCAAACTGGTAGGTCGGGGGTAGTCAGATTGTCGAATTTAGCTAGGGTGAGAATGGTTGACCCCACCCCACCCCACCCGAGAAGATAAGTAATTTAGAAAAAAGCTCAGCGCTACATTGCACTGCATGCATTAACACACAATCACACAATGGCAAGGTGGGAGAGGGCTAAAATTATAAGAAGTAATATAGGCAGGTGGAGATGATTAGTAGGTGATTACTGAATCATTCCTAGTTCATCGAGTCCACTACACCCATCATAACAAGTGTAATAGGAATGACTCATCACTCATACCGGAAATATGGACATGCTATTAGCAATCAAGTCAAGCGATGAAAAATAATGGAATTAATTATATGAACGAAGTTAGAAAGTTGTGTGAGTAGTGTCTCGATATGATTATGAGCAGGAATAAATTACTGTGTAGCACTGTGAGACCTTATCAAAAAACGCTTTACCCACAATGGAATTATACTCTACCACATTGCACAAGTTCTATTGTTATATCAATGGGTTTGAGAGCCCTATTATGCATTGTTTCATAAACGTAATCGTGTCTCTATTAAGAGTGTGATAATCAAGCAGCTCGTCAATACTGACCATTCTATCCGGATAAACGCAGCTTTTAAAGCAATTCACAGAATGAAGGACAGCCTGTCAACGACAAGAAATGTTCTTTTATCTCCTCCGCATTATTGAAGCTGTAGCCAATCATATAGAGAAATCGAATTTCTGCATACAAATGAACATTAATGAACCATTTCTCTTACCATCTTAACAATGTCATTTTTGATTTCTACTGACTTGATTTTCGTTTAGTTGTTTTTCTAACGCCTTATAACTCCTCCATTTCTATAGAACTCCTACATAATTCCATATTTTACTTCGCTTATATGTGAACATCCTGGTTACAAGTCATCCACTCATTAAATTATCCACCCGTATTTTTCAACTCCTTTTATGCATTGTCTAATACTGACAGTCATGTTTGTCAGAACTCATCACTTTTGTTACTACCACTTTCATGAAAACAAGACTGCATATAAATGCGACTGTACAGCTAAAGAGGAAAATGAATTAGCCAAAAAAACACTCTTCGGTGCTTTCAATCAGCCGAATATGCGGCAAGTTTTTTTGTTTTGCTACAACAACTTATATCCTCGACTGGAAGTGAAAGACGTGTCGCTCCGCGGTTGGTTATTCACAAATACATTAGAATCAATGTGTCCATATGCTCACTCATAATCATATGTCTTTTAAATAGCCTAGCTACGTGTTGTTTATATTCAGCCTACATCCTCAATCTGCGTATTCCTCCAAAATTAAAAAATAATCAATAAATTTTTTACAACCTAATAGTTGATTGGTTGAAGTAAATGGCTAATGACTACATGATTTCATCAGCCATTTCTGATTAGTTGTTTTTCAATAATAATCACGTGGTTTCATCATTAGGATGACCAATGAGAATAAAGATCAGTCAATGAATCACATGATTTTGAGAGTTATTTTTACCATATGCAACCTAATGATGTTTGTCTGTCTAGAAGCGAAACGAAAGTTTCGTATTTAAATCACCACCTACATCAGGAAGACTACAACACAACTCTTTTGTATTCTACATTTACAAGCTGCAATCGGGAAAAGCAAATTATATGTGGATTAAGTACCAACTATAGAGTATCATTATCAAACAGGGTAAAGAATAGAAGTCAAATCTCACTCTACCTGAAACTTCGTCGACTTTGAAATGGACTTTTCACAGCGTTGACCGTGAAATAATTTGGAAACTTTCTATCATGTACTCAAGTCACTCTCTATGATTACTCTTAAATATCGGAATGATGAGTTGCCACACTCAGTGTAGCATACACAGAGAGAAAAGAGAGATAATAAACAGAAATATGAGGCAACAAGAATGGCAATATGTAAGAAGAATTGGATTTTATTGGATATCATAAATTTCAAGGAGTGAATACAACTGCACCAACCATTAAGATCGCCTTTGAACCATATCACCAATCATCTATATCGTACATAGCTTCTTATCATTCCGAGGATCCCAAGTAATCAGTCAGTCTACATCGACCTACAAGGCTAGCTCAAACTAACTGTCAAAGATTTCATGGATTAATTCCGTGTTTTGGTTTGACCACCACTACTAGCTCTTCTCCAACCTCATCGACCCTATGTCAGCTAACATTGGTCGTCGAGAAAAGCGATGGCTAGGCTACCATGCATAGCACATAACCTAGTCATCTTAATCGATCCATCCAGCTGCTTCCCGATCTGATCGACAAATGCCTAACCTCAATATAACTCACCCTACACTTAGCCTACCACCTAACAAGGAAGATAGAATGGAGACACCTATGATCAAAGACGGCTAGCCGGCCTTTTCATATCTTCCACTTTCAATAGTCATGTTTCACTCACAGCCAGCCGTTAAGAAAGATGGAGTGAACTGCTACTTCTGTTCAGTACACACATTCTTTGGTCGGAACCCAGCCAGATATCACGTCTACTAAGTCAGAGATGGTGTAATTCGGCGAATTCCAAACGAGCCTTCTGTATACCTGCTGAGATTTATTCAGCTGTCAACACTCTGGTGCTGATGCAACTCCTCAAATAACTCAAGTGGTAGTAAATACGCTCTCCGACTTCACTCCCTATCTTCATGACAACTAGGGCTCGATGTAGCCCAGTTCTGTAGCATCATCCTTCTTTTATATCGGAATAATCAATGACTAACACCAGTTCAACGGGACTATCTCTGATTCCCAGGCGTTGCCTAATACCTTAATCAGCCCAGAAAACAATATGCCATCACCGTCCTTAGAAGCCTCGTGTGCTTTAGGATGTGTGGGTGGTTGTTAATACCCAGCTGCTAACACAGTGGAAGTTGACTTTTTCCTGGGGTACGTGAAACAGAGGAAGATTAAGTGCTGCGTGACCATAGAGCACAGGCAGGTCACACACGACCCGTCTGGACTGGCTTTTTGGTTTGGTTACGTATTATTAACTTACCGCAGCTACGGACCACCATAGGGTAGGTCGGGATGTACAGTTTTCGAGGTCAACCTTTTCTAACTCCTCCTCTCCAGAATGGAGTGCTGTTATATCTCTATTTCCCAACAGTGCGACTTTTCCCACAGGCCCCCAGTATAGTATAAAAAAGTCTTTCAACCCCCTACAATTTAACCTTCGAAAATTTAACTCCAGGAGGACGAAGTTGTCTGGAGTGTTCTGTTCTAGTGAGAAGTACTGACCAATATGATTGCAAATACTTGCCGCCTATCGCAATAAACACCTGGAAACTGTAGGAGTTGGAATTCATGTGTACATAGGCCATTGGACTCATTTCAATGGTTTACGAGCTCGCATTGTAACCAGAAGATACCTGGGGTGTTTCGAACCTCAATGGGAGTGTACGTCTGAATAGGAGTCCCAGACTTCTAGACTTACGAAACAACTAGCCAGTATAACCCTGTGGATATTTGTCCAGTGGTTATCTAACCGATATCATTTAGATCGTGATCAAATTTGAAACAAATCTAATGCCCCTTAAAAACCAACACTTGAAAAGACGGATTATCAAATACCAAAATCTTTATTTACATACAAAGCTTTTTGTCTTAAATCCAATAATACATAATTTGTTCAAAAGTCAATAGCACTGTAATGTTGTCAAAAGACACGCCCTAACATTTTAACACAAAAGATACACCAAGAAGGAGAAGGATGTTTACGAATGTGTATATAAGATAAGATAAAGTATGTTTTCAACAATCTACAAGGAAAGTCCAGAGATAAATGAATCAATCCATCAAATCAGAAGCATTCCCCTAAAACTCCCTACCCAACACAGAGCCCCTCTACCTCTTAATGGACTGCGGTAAAACCTTCATTTGAAGTCGGTAAGCCGTAAGAGTAACACAGTGACTCAGGGACAATAATAATTATCACAAGCAAGTGATCCAAAAAATCTGTCACAGTGAACAATCACCAGTACTTGATGGAAAAATTATTTGTTCTCGTAATTCAGAACTAAATCCCGGTCACTCCCCAATATGGTATGTGTATTTGACCACATACAAAAAGAAACGACATATTAACGTCGCTTACGGAAAATACCTCTCACTCTTGATCACAGTACACAACAACCAAAAAACAAACGGTCGAACCGACCAAAACAGACGGATCAGCAAAGATAAAATACTCATCCAACAATCCAATTGATGCGTGGAAAACACCGAAGGGATATAACCGGTGAGTCAGTCAATCGCGTGTGACAATCACATGGAAAGAACAGATGCTCAAAATGGCACGAACACAAAAATGATGTTGTCTCAAGTTCAAAAGATTTACTAGTTCTTCGATTTTCAGCTCACATCTTTTGAGGTTTTTTATTGTTGATGTTTTGCATGGTTTACTCTCCTTCGCCCGTAATAAATGTCACAAAAGGAAATCAACTAGTATGAATCTAACTGACGCAAGAAAAGAGCTGGAATCTGCCTATATTGACTTTGTGGGGTGGGGTGGGAGAGGAATGCACCAGTGACCTTGAAAACACCCACAATCAGAGAAAAACAGTTAATACAGGTTAATAACTATGGTATTCACAAAATAAAGGTGTTAAAAGAAATGTAGGAGTCTAAAAAAAGGGTGTCTGCTCAAGGAGGTTATTCAAGTTAGCTGTTTTAACACATTTTCTAGTTAGTTCCAAAGTTACTGATGTGTTCGAGCCTATTAAATAACCGGATTTAGGATATTGTTCGGAAAGAAGAAAGACAGAATATATTTTAGAAAAAATATGCAACAATACATGATCTTTTTCTCAAAACACACGAGATGCCAAGGAGAAGCAGAGATGAGTAGGAGTATCCTTTTCAAATTGAATTCGAAAAGCGCCTTCTCACCACAGCCGAATTATTTGTTTATTCGTTTACTCGCTGAATGTGGTAGCTGTCATTATGGAGGAAGAGTTCGATATATTCGTCGCCGCAGCAAATAACGCACTCAAATCAACATTACTTGAACAGAATGAACCACGTCGTGAGGTTGTCGTTGAACTGGACGTTGTCGTTGTTGGACGTTTACGTAAATGACACACGTGGTGATTCCGTGAATGTTGGCTAAGTGCACCTTGCCAAAATCTAGCGACAGCTGCATTTTCTGGCGATGCACAGCCTATTGATGCGAGGACGCCTGCCCATCGACGAGTTGCTTCATCACCGCTAAGAGATGGACCCTAAGAGAGAAAAAAATGCAAGGAGACGAAAAAACAGACAAAACTAAAATCAATATGTTAATGACTGACTGATTGAGTTTTAAAATACATAGGTGGCCGACTAAAACCGACTGTCAAAGGTTTCATGGGCTGATGTCAAATTTTGATTTGACGACCATCCCCTCAGCCAACTTGATTCTATGTCACTGTATACTAGTTTGCTTATTAGATGTATCAAACTGTGAGTGAAACAGTATTATTTACTGGATGATATGATTATGAACAATAAATTTTGTTCGAAATGTCATCCAGTAAATAATACTGTTTCACTCACAGTGTGATACATCTAATAAACAAGCTAATATGGAATTACTTACTACTACAGTGCCCAAGTTTTAAACATATAATGATTCTATGTCAGCAGTTAACATGAGGCTATGCGTAACACCTGTTGTCTCCTAGCTATCTCCATATCGCGATTGACATCCTTTGCTTACCTAGAGCACTCTACGCCTAGTCTCAATACTACTCACTTTATTACACAACATAACACAGGGGATAAGGTAACAGAATAATTGTTTGGAAAATCCCTCCTGAAAGATCTAATTACAATGTTCATACTTTGCTTGAACACTAGTAACTAATGTGACGTTTCTAGTCCTTTCTTTGGTGCAGACTGAATTTTATCAGCCAGGTTTGCAATGTGGCCACCATTCTAGGTAGATGGACATCACGGTGCACATTGACGCGGATTCGAATCTCAAAAGGGACATGAGTTCCTTCAAGGTTGCAGATACGCCTTGCTGATGAGTGTCAACTAGCACGAAACCTAGGTCGAACAAGGCTTCCTGCCGATTGCCTCCAACAATCTAATATCATCAAATGTTCATACTTATTTGAACTTTTCAACTAACTCTGTAATGATTATCCCTTTTTCTCTCCACAATTGTTTATCATTGTTCTAATATTTTTTCATATGATACTGTGAATTTTGGTTAACTAATTTTGTTTGAAAGTACTTGCTTTGTACTTAGGAAGATATCTTGTCTATATAGCAGCTGCCTGACGAAAATGTTAAGGGAATTTTGCGTTTCTTATCTAACGACGAATAACTGTCTTTTTGCTGCCATCTTTGGAGTGTTTTATGACTGTGCCTCTGTGTGTCTCAAGGAAGTTTCAAACAGCTATACAGTAGGATGCAGAGATCGGTTTCTTGAGTTCAGACCACAACGAGTCAGTTTTCGTCGTTACAGATAGAACACGAAAATCTGTCATCAAAGACAACTAATCAAACTTTTCATATCGCCCACTTTCAACGGTAATGTCTTGCTCAGAGTCACAGAGAAATGCGAAATGCGGTTGTGCACTACAGATAGTCTTTTAAAGGATATCCGGATAAAAAATAGTGTAGCCAGAGTCGATATAAAATGGCTAACACCTTTAGTTCTTTTCGTGCTAAGATTTTGTCAAGAATCAGTCAATTCATTTGAACTGGTGCAATCAACTTCCCAAATAAGTAGTGAAGTAGTAGTCAACACCCTCTCTTTCTCTGCACCACTTCACTCCTGCCCATCACCTTTTATTTATTTATTTATTTTTTATTTATTTTTGATTTACAGCTTGATTCCATACTGTATTTTTTGTACAAGTATGGAATTTTCAGCGTGGATATCGGTAGCCCAAATTTTGCAGGCTAAATAGGAGAGTCAGCATGTAGTCAAGTCCAGTCCATTCCACTGCCCTACAACATCATCTTACGCATATTTTGACAGGAGTGAGTCACATGCCAAAATATTCCAAGACTTCTACTCAAGGCATCCCATCAGAATCCAGTACTGCGGGCGATGGACGCTTTTATGTACCACTTGAAATAATCATAATAATAATAATAGTAGTAATAATAATAATAGCAGTAATCAGTAATTCAAATCATTACACACGTTATGTGATCCTTCGATTGAACACCATGTAGTAACTAGTGTTGTTATGCGTGTGTTTAGTCCTCCAAGTGTTGGTGCAGACTGAATTCTACAAGTCTATCAATTGGTCATCATCAATATGCTAGTGGGTGATTCGTTATCACGGTGCACTTTGAATTGTTATCCTTATTAGATGACAGTTGGAGGCGATCGGCCACAGAAAGCTCCACCTCGATCAGGGCATCGTGCTTGTTGATAGATGTCATGTAGTGGAGAAAACGAAAGCATTCAAGCTGATCATTTATCGAATCACACCGAATCTTTCCAATAGGCTTCGTATTCGTCTACTGCAACACAGCTTATGCGATAGGCATTCAAACAACTATTAAGCCTAAACTATTCAGTCAAATGGAATTCGTACAGCCATTATCTCTCCTTTCGCCTATTAAGACCTAACCAACTGACGACGTCACCACCACTCCTTACTTGTATTCTCGATGCCTTTCTTATCACCCCTTAATCTAATCACACGTTGATTAAAACGTATTTTATTTACTTCCCTTACAATCAATCTAGAATTAATTCATCGGTTCATTTGTTTTCTTAGTTTTGATCGACCACCACGTCTACCTGAACACATTTGTTTGTTTAACCATGTTGTTTTTCATTATTCTTGTTATCGAAAACCTCTTCACTGTCTATCTTTGTTACTGATAGAATTATTATTATTATTATTATTAATATTAATATTAAATGCACGATTTATATGCGCACCATCTTATTGTACTATCGACAAATCACCATGATTGGTTTATATTTTAATAATAATTTGTAAAATTATGCAGACATTTCAGAGTTAAGCCTGATGAGATTTGATTGAAAACAATATTGATCGCATGAACTATTGTTCTAAATCAATCAACAGACAAATAAATCGATAACTTCAACATTGACTTACTTGGCATCGTTTAAATGAATATAACAATCTTGCCCGATTGATCCAGTCATGTTTGACAGTGTTTAAAGCCACCTCATAAACATCAATTGGTAGTGGGGGATTGATGCTGAGCAATTTTATGATCTGATCAACATAACTTGACACTTGGAAACGTCCACCACCACTAAATGAAATCGGTGAGGGTAATAGATGACGAACTCCACCACCACCACCACCAACACTGACAACAGCCCCGATACCAGAGGGAATAACCGAGGGAAGATTTACAATGTCCAACGATACAGTTTTATTCATACCAGGTTTCAGTTGGCTCAACAATGTTTGTTTAAACGATACAATCTCTGGATCCAGAGAAGGTAAGGTAGGACTTAATCGGAAGTACAACTGTGAAAAAAAAAAGGAAAAAAGAGGAGGTGGGTAAATAGAGTGAATGAATCAGTACAATTTCTGAGCAATACCACATGTTCTTAGTGTCTCGATGAGCTCTTCTCAGCATATTCAGCAGAAATCTTCATAAGTTTAGCATGCAATTTTGTTAATGTCAAATATGTAAGATGATACTATGGGAGCGGAATACATCAACTCCTAGACAGCGTAAAGATAAGGAGTGAAGTGCTATAGCATGTCGACCACCACTGCACTAATTTGAGAAGCTAACTGATGCCACCAGTCACGCTAAAATCTCAACTTGGTAGAAGTTAGAATTCATGTGTGCGGATCCACAGTAGTGGCTGAATAGTCGCCAACGAAATCGACTTGTAAATGGAAGGTCCTCAGTGGTTCGAACTTAGGTGGTGGGTGGTAGCATACTACTAGCAACGAGTCAGTCCAAGAATGGGCTGACGAAACAACTGTCTGACACTATTCTATGTTGGCAGTTTACATTGATTTTCTACCAATCTGTTATGAAGCCCGAAACTTATAAATACCTTACGAACACTAGAACTTCAAAGACCACAGTAGGTTGAGACCATTAATTCCAAGTCAGCTAACACAACTACCAATCGAGTACAAAAGAGGTGCCTCGGTTTCCTCTTTAAGGAAACGAGAATCATATGCCAACAAAGTGGTGAGGGTAGAGTAAATGAAATGAATCAGTCTGTGCCTCAGGGATACCCAAACAGGCTCATCAGTCCGCTCCGTCCTCCTTTATGGCTAGCTGTGAGACCTGGCCACTGAGAGTGGAAGATATGAAAAGACTAGCTAGTTGTCTTTGATCATAGGTGCCTGCGATCTATTTCCCGTGTAAAGTGGCATAATAAGGTGAGCAACATTGAAGTTAGGCGTCGAGTGCTAGGTAAACAGGGGAAATCAATCGACGAAGTCGTGAAGTTACAAAGACTGAGATGGTTAGGACATGTGTTGCATATGCCAAGTCATCGCCTCCCTCGATGAGCAATGTTAGCGGATGTAGAATCAGGCTGGAAAAAAGCTAGCGGCGGTCAAACAAAAACTTGGCACCAGTCAATGAAATCCACAACAGTTGGCCGAAGCCACATAGGAAGGTGTAGACTTCCTGACTGGTTGGGGTCCTCGGGACGGTAAAAATCTATGGTTGGAAACAATTGGTGACATGGCTCAAAACCGTTCTCAATGCACAGCGCAGATACATCCACTCCTTGTGACTTATGATCTTCAATGAAACTGTTTTGTTCTTCGTTACTACTATTCCTTTGTCTCACACCTCTGCTCACTGTCTCTATTATGCTTTTTTGTACTTTCTTCTCTTGCTTTGTGTGCTACAAGGAGTGGAGTGTGGCGACTTGAACCTCCGTACATTTGTGCAAAGTTGTATGTCGAAAACAGACAGACAGAAACAGGCAGTTATGTAGTCACTTAGCTAGAGAGGCGGCAACAGCTATACCCCCCCTTCCTATGCTTCAGATACAATCCAACAGGTAAAACATTTTACAGATTGCTGTTTTGGATGGTTAATGGCTATCGGTAGAAAGCTCTAGGTGGACACCTAAGTTTCCTCCTTTTCGGCATTCATCAGTCACACCGAGACGTGCATCTGCGATCCTGGAGGGTCTCACCAGTGCCTTCCATATTGTAGATACGCCTTGTAGAGTACCATAAAGCACGAAACCTAGGTTAGACAAGTCTTCCTTCCGACTGCCTCTAAACATCTAACAAAGAATGTCTCTTGGCTATTGACCACCATTTTCAGCTTGCAATTGGTGTCGCCAAAACCCCAAACCAGCCATCCACTTAGCCAAGGCATCTAGGCAATCTACACCGACTTATGTAACTTGCTGAAACCCCAGGGTAAAGGGCTATAACACACAGTAAACAACCTCACCTCACTTTAAAACCCGAAGGTCGTGGGTGTATGTAGCGTACTGAAGAGTCCCACACAAGAGCGACAAAATACCTGTCAAGTACTCACTGTTAGTGGTTTCCAATGCTTCTCTAACTAAACTGGATTTGTTTGACCAAACCTCAAACAAATCAATACCCTACAAACTAACTCGTGAAAGACCACAATGTATTGATGCCATCAGTTCAATGTCAGCTAACATTACTCCAATAAAGAGAAGAAATGGCTCGGCTGTTATCTACAAACTCAGAATAGCTACAGACAGAAGGGAAATGAGAGAATCTTAGGTCAAAACAGTGACAGTGTAGTTGCACATGCATGAAGTCTAACTTATACCAATTTGTGGTTTTTAGCGCGACTGACGGCACCAGCTAGTGTCATCGGCGTCAACCATGTGTCCCATTACCACTAGACAATCTGATGGACCCCACCCTGGTCACATGAAACATCAGCTATCATATCTATCTTTCATGGGTAACTTATAACCTCACCACTAGACAGACTGTATAACTTACCGAATCCACATAACACTGCGTACGATATAATTGCTCATCATTTTCACTTTGACCGCCTCCTGACGATGTTATACTCGACGAATTGTGACAGCCGTACCGATAACGATAAACAGCTAAGTATAAAACATGTTCATTGGCAGTCGTCGTCGTCGATGGCATATCACCGCCTTCTTGACCATCGTTGTATCCAGTGGATGACGATGTACATGAAGCCGTATGAAGTGATAAACTTAACAGATTACAACGAAACGGAGGCAAGTATTCGTGATTTGCTAAAACCTATGGAAGAAGAAGACACAGAAGTTTACAGGAAATCAAATGAAGGAATTTTGATGGCTCCCGCCATCAGTCACTCTGAATCTACCATGGTAATACGTATTACTTATTAACTGTTATTATTTATTAATATTATTAACACCTTATTCTACCTTTTTATTATTATTATCATCATTATTACTATTATTATTCCTGGTTCATTTAAACCTTTTTTGTCAGTAACATTAACTACATTATAATTACTATCAATATTACTCAGTTCACAAATATTTATATATATATTTAAGTTCTTTGTCTATTTAATATTGTAAAAATAAAGATAAAAAGTATACACATGTCTTCTGTTGTTACAATAAAACTGAAATTCGCTCAGTGAGCTGAAATCCCAATATATATATGACTAATCACTGTAATCAAAATGCATTTACCAGGCTAATGAGAGTGAGTAATTACACTCTCTCTTTCTGTATGTATATAAGTTTGGTTTGAAAAGCTTGATTGCCCTGCCCCTTCAGCAAAAATCGGAGTCAATTAACTGTCTTTGTTTGCATATACAATATTTTGAAGGATTTAGAGATCTCGTTGAAAGGATTTTTAGCCAAAAGATTTCTAGTAGTAATTTTACTTTGTGAGAAGAATATCTGCTCCCCATTTAAGCATAAATTTTTTTATGGGATATGTTCAGAAAACACATGATAGATGCCTTTAAATTTGGCTTTCCAATGCACTTGCTGTTGCAAGTGCATGTAAATGTATAGGAACTTACTTACTTACTTTACTTCGGCTATCTCCTACGGGAGGATGAGCCGGCTTCATGAACGTCTCGAATCATCGCTGCCCAAGCGCGGCAATTTGTAAGAGAGTTCATGAAGTTTCATGGGAATTTGGTACGAGTGATGTCCCCAGAATCGCTCGGCCTTTTGTTTGAGAGTGCAGCTCTAGCCTTCACACAGCCAAGTGTGACCTACAAGGCAGTAGGAGTGGAGTAAGGAGTCCACTATCCATTGGCAGCCGGTGACCGGAGTTCGGTTCATACGCCTTTTTGAATGGGGCCAGACATCCAGGACATCCAACAAGCCCTTTGTCCATACGTCTGCCGGTGAGCTCCAGTGAGCTTCATACGCCAGTCGTTGGAGGTTTGGAATCAGGGTTAAGCCATCTCCCCTAGACCGTCATCCAATGGACAGTCAACCCGGTGGAGAGCGCCGGGCATCCGCTTTCGCCCTCTCACTTTAGTGAGAAACACCTCCGCCACGTGAAGGCAGTGGGTAGGACTTCCTCAGGAGAGGCTATGTAAGGCGCCCGGTCATATGGGAGCATTTCAAGAGGTGTGCGGAGGGGTGGCCAACCCGCAGCGCAAGGCACCCACCCCCGACCATCCTGAGGCTTTGGAGGCTTTAGGAACACCTGAAGGTGACATCAACGGAGTACTTATCCAGTATAGATTATCTTATTCATCATGCATATAGTGCTGGACAGGAATGCGCTAGACAGATGAGAAGAGACTATAGAAGATTTGGACTTCGGAGGTGATCAGAGATGGCTAGCCGGGATAATTTAGCAACAACAAACTCCGGAAGTGTAGAAACCAGTCAAGAACCTATTCCCTAGCTAAAAAATACTCCGAAGAAATTGGAGATGGATGAATCGGACACACATACAATGAGGATACCCATCGGATGACATCCGGCGCCCTCCAGGCCATCATCACTCGACTGCAATACGAATACGAAACGACAAGTTAGGCGTTGCTCTCAAGGTGACATCAAGGAGATCATGTTAAGAGGAGAAGGAAGTTAACGGACAGTCGTCGAACCAGATGATGAGAAAACTGTAGAGAAGAGGATAGAGTGGAGGTGTTACCCCCTCTGAAGCCCTATGTTCCACTAGGAACCCCAGGGAATAATAATAATAACAATCAAAATAACAGTAGTAACCTACCTGTCTAATACATCCTCTAGGTAATAGTTTAGCCAATGCAGATAATGTCAATGTAGCATTGATATCCTCATCCAAAGGTTGAACAACAATTTGATTACCGATTGCTATATGTTGAACAAGCCGACTGAATGGTATAACACCAAGTACATGATATAGTCTTGATAAAATTAATAAAGAACTAAAAGAGATGAAGAAGAAAAACAGCAGGGTAGACTTAAATTAGTTTTCTTCAAGTGTGAACACGGGTTAATAAGACAGAGAACTATTAGAAAGCGTTAACACGGAGTCCTGCCAGACATTTGGCTGTTACGACAGCCCAATCCGGGACTGACTCATCGGCATTACGCACCCGCCACCTAGATTCGAACCACCCCAGACACCTTCCGATTACAACTGAAGCATGTTGGCAACAATTAATCCACTGGGAACTAAGTCAGTCGCCAAGCCATGAATTCTAGCTTCTGCCAATTCGTGATTTTAGCGCGACTGGTAGCATCAGTCAGCATGATCGGAGACGGAGTATTTTTCCTCACTCATGACAATTTGATGAACCTTACGACTTCTCACTAGCACACTCCAAGAAACTTCGTCCTGTGGTCAGTCACTAGCCAATATCAGATTAACTTTCAAGGGTGGGATTTGACTCGTTTCAAGTTCGATATCACAGATTGACGTCATTTATAGAACCATTGAAAACAAGCTACACAGAGTACTCGAGGAGTGTTTTGTCAGCCTAGTCTGAGACGCATCAATAGTGCGCACTAACTGAAGTTCGAATGGAAGGGAAAAGATTTTATTCCCCAACACTCAACCCCACCGACGCTATTAGAATCACGAGGCGATGACATTGAGAACTTTCAGTCACTGTGATATGGAATTCAATAATCCTATGAATCCTAACTTTGCCCATACAACACAACATCACCCCACCAGTTCATGTCGATGACGACCATTTGTCCTACTTTTGGTGGGTCGAACTGGAATCACGATATCTTACACTAGAACACTCCATGCAACTTCATCGTATATGTAGTCAGTCAGTAACTCACAAGTGAGTGCTGGTTTGTAGTACTAAATCACAAACTAAGATCTTAGTTAGGAAGTTACTGAGAACCAACCATCAGTCAGTATTTGGAACATTTTTACATCCAGTTTATGAGACTCATCAACACTACGCATCTTTGCTATTTTCAAGCAAGGATTGAACTGAGGGATTTCAAGTCACAAGCCGCGAGGTAGTTGACTATTCACAGCCACTGGGATAGAATCAACTGTCTCGCCTTCAAAACTGAAGTTCCTGAATAATGACTCCATCCTCAATGGTGAGTCCGTGCGTACTAGTACTACTACTATTACTATTATTATCATATAAAGTTGTAAACTGAAACCAAAGAAGTTCATTACGTATGAGGGATGTAACGACACATGCTTGTCAATAACATAAACTGTGAGTGATAGCATTATATATCGCGTATTAGTGTTCGATAGATTCCCAGTAAGCTGATGGACAGTGGTTTCAGGCAGCCATATAGGAAGGTGTAGAGTGGTCTGATTCCAGTCCTTCAGACGTTAAGAATCATGTCAAACCACGGCCAAACAGTCACCACGAGAACGACCGAAGTCATAGCCACCATTAAAATCATGGTCCCAACTACATTTGAACTTTACTAGGTCGTTGAATGGTATTCATTATTTGTTTCTAATGGATGCTTATTCAAAGTAACTAGAGGGCAATGCCAATTGCCTCACCTTTCCAATGGTCGTACCATAGAGGCACTCAATAAAGTCTTCGCATGCCATAGCATTCCGGACACCACTGTATCTGCCAACGGCAGTCAGTACACGTCGCAAGTATTTCAACATTTCTGTTAAATAAAATTATACAACAGGTGCGGACGCTTTCAAGAGAGCTTAAGTAAAAGCAGGAGTAGGAGCCGCATAAAAAATTATACAACAGTTCCCTTTCGTGTACCGCACGGTGCCGACAGCAGAACAGAAGAAAAGTCCAGAAGAACTTTTAATGGGACAGACGTTGTGCACTCACCACCATATAATGTTACCGTCACCACCAAGTCATAGGGAAAGTGCTGCATGTTATTTACAGAAGAGTGACCTGGTCTGTGCTCGAGATTATCACCCAGAAGAGCAAAATGGATGGGATGCCAGACTAAAGGTACACGCAGAACAATGATTCATGAGGTAGACGTGTGTGGAATTAAACATGGATAAGACACAATTTCGGCGGTGCTACATGACATCATCAAAATCTGAGATAGTCATAGGTCTCCTAAATTCTTTTTTCATTGTCCCTTGAGTTCCGAGTGGAACATAAGGCTTCAGCCGGAGTACGTTTCCGTTTTATCTTATTCTCTATAATCCTCTTTAGCTGGCCCTACGAGTGCTCATAGGCTATCAACTCCTCCGTGTTTCATACGATCTAATCCATGTTACCACCTTCGAACCCACAAGAAACTAATCGTTTTTCATTCGGGCCCCCAGTCGAGCAATGGCCTGGACGGCGTGCGATGTCATTTGACGGTCTCATCAGCATATACCTCATCCATCTCTCCATCTTCTCCTCCACATTTCTTGAGCAATATAGGTGGTTCATGGTTAGTTTTTCCCCATAGTTTCTTGTTGCTGGTTATTCCTGGTCGGCCATTCGATATTCAGTATGGAACGACGGTAGCAGTTGATAAAGGTCCGTGGCAGTCGTTTGGAAATGCTTTTCGAGACTCGCCAAGTCTCTGACATTTATGTCGAAAATTCAAATCTTGATCTTTATACTGCGTGCAGAATATTTTGCAAACCGATTTCTTACTTGGAACACTTACACTAACCTTGATATAAGTATAAAACTTGGGCACTGTGGTGGCAGAGTATAACTCCATTATGGATAAGATTTTATTTTGACAAATCACACAGTATTGCACAGTAATATTAACTGATGACCACGTTTCGAGCACAATTTATTGTTCTTTATCATATCAAGTCACTCAGACAACTCTATGCTATCTCCAGTTGACACGGAGGTAAACAAACGGGAATCAGAGAACAAGAAGAGGTCTCAGTCCAGAAGGCAATCCAATCGCAAGAGATCCCAGACAATACGATTCTAAGTTGACCCAAAGAAGAAGAGGTACTAATTTTGTTGTACATCTTCATTTTTTCTGCTTTGAAAGGGGGGAGTGTTATACAGACTTAATTTTTCAAAAAAAAAAAACTACTACTACAGAAGTGATGAAGATTCCTGGCCAACAGCAACAAAAACAGACAACAATCAGTATAAATGGGAGAAGTCTGAAAGAAGCAACCTCCTTTACCTACCTACCTGGGATGCATCGTTTCAACTACAAGCGGACGGAACTGATGAGGATATCAAAAAAGTGAAAACCGGGAAAGCAAGGAAAGCTATCATTACTCTCAAGTCTGTGTGTGGATGAAGAGCACTTAGAATAAAAACTAAGATCCGGATTTCCAACTCCAATGTGGTCAGTGCTACTGTAACAACAGAAGACAAGGGCTGGCAACAGATCGTTTTATTACGAAAATCAACACGTATTTATATATATTTTATATGCATTAATAAGGCTTATGCAAGCAGAAAAAGGCAGTCTTCTGATTGGTTGTTTCTCGGAAGTTAAGCAGACAAACACAGTCTTATGATTGGTTGTGTTCGATATTTCTCGGAAAGTAGAGCCATCTATCTGCGAATCATATTTGTCCACATTTAGGTTTGCTGTGATTGGTTGTTGAAACAGCCTTGTTCACGGTCAATATTAGTGACCTAGACATTAACGTAGATTAGTGCCAACCAATCGGCTAGCAGCCTGCTCTCACCACACTCGTCCCCCCGTCAAATAGCTTTGTGCGCAGACGTTCCGACCTTCTGGGTGCTACATCCTCTAGTTGAGGATTGTTACTGACCGGCTTGTCCCACTGTACCCATCTTTGTAGCTGACTGGCGTTAACTCGTTTCTGTTTATCACCTCTTCGGATGGTATATACTTGACCCCGTCTTTTTGTGATTGTGTATGGTCCTTCCCACTTTGGAAGGAGTTTCCGTGAACCTAGCCCGCCTCCAACTGTATATCTCCTGTCTCTACACTTCACTTGGTCCCCGACTGCAAAGGTAATGCACTGCGTCCTTTCTTTCATCTGAGACTTCGTGACATCACTGCGCTGCTTCCGTATTACATTCTTGACTGCCTCTTTCCTCTCTGCTTTTAATTTCGTCGTACTCCACTTTTGGTGCATGGGCCAGGTCTCATTGTGTACCGGTAATCGTGGTTTTCTGCCATACATCAGTTGGAAGGGTGACTTCTTCGTTGTTTCCTGAGTGGTAGCCCGATGTGTTAGTAAAATCAGTGGAAGCTCCGTTTCCCAGTTCCCGCCCTTCGAAGCCAGCCACTCTTTCAGTGTACGGTTGTTTCTCTCCGTTAGGCCATTCGTTTGTGGATGGTATGGGGTCGTTCTGATCCTCTTGATGCCCAGCTGTTGCAAACGGGAAGTAAACTCTTCACTCTCGAAACAGGGACCTTGGTCTGTCAGTATTGTCTTCGGTACGCCGTGGTCTGCAACAATGTGTCTAACTACTGCATCTGTCACGGTTCTTGCACGTTGGTCTGGGATTGCTACGGCGTCTACCCATCGTGTCGCGTGTTCCGTCATCACCAAGAGGTACTGATTACCATTGGATGTCTGAGGAAATGGACCCATGACATCTACGGACCACAAGTCACCTATCGCGGTAACTGGAATCGACTGAAGTGGTGGTCGTATATACCGGTCACCTTTCATCAGCTGGCACCGTGGACATCCAAGTACGTATCTTGCTACGTCTTCTCTCATACCTGGCCAGTACATACTTTGTCTTAGGAGGTCGGTCGTTCTGGCCACGCCTGTATGCGCTAGCTGGTGACATTCTTCTATCATGTCGTGGCGCGACGATTGAGGTATGACAGCCAGCCAGCTTCCGTCGTTCTCTCGCCAGGTCAGAGTCCCGTAGGCATTCACTCTGAGTCGATCCCTCTGTCTGAGTAGTGTGGTTAGCTCCTTACTCGCCGTAGTTTGATCCACTTCTATTCCGTTGGTGATCACCTGTATTACTGTATTCAGCGTATCGTCCAACCTCTGCCTACGTGCAAGTCTTAGTGGGTCTTGTTCTACTGCATGCACTCCGTAAGCGACCTCGGGCAACTCAGACTCATCTTCTGGTCTCGATAACAAATCTGCCAAGACATTTTCACTTCCAGGAACGTGTGAGATCGTAAAATCGTACTCCTGAAGACGCAACATCCACCGTGACAACTTCCCCCGTGGGTCTCTCGCTGTCTTCAAAAATTGTAGCGGCTTATGATCAGTTTCGATGTGGAACCGCCGGCCGAGTAAATAAGGTCTCCATTTGTCGACTGCCCATACCATTGCTAAACATTCTTTCTCTATCGTTGAATACTTTCTCTCTGTGAGGGTCAACACCCTACTGGCATACTCAACGATTCCCTCGTCCTGTCTTAGGACCGCACCTATAGCGTAGTCACTGGCATCTGTGCACACTGTGAACTGTCTTCCTGGCACAGGTAGTTTTAGCGTCATTTGTTGGTGGTCGAGCAGCTGTTTAATTCTGTCGAATGTCCTCTGCGATTCTTCCGACCAAACAAACTTTGGCTCACCTAGTAGCCTGTATAGAGGGGCTGCTATCTCATTGAAGTTCTTCACGAAGCGACTATAAAACGCTGCTCTACCCAAGAATTGTCTCAGTTTTCTCTTTGAATTCGGGGCTGGAATCGTTTTAATCGTCAAAATTTTCTCCGGCAGTGGTTTAATCTCACCATTTCCCACTTTATGTCCCAACAGAGTAACATTCTTTTTGGCTATCTGAGACTTGGTTTTGTTGACGCGTAGTCCAAACTCTTCGATGCGTCGCAGCACGGCTTCTACATGGTTGACGTGATCGTTTTCGTTTGACTGTATATGACGAGATCATCACCATAAACCTCCACGTTTTTCAAGTTCTTAAGTAATAGCTTCATCAGTCGTCTGAACGTAAACGGTGCACCTGCTAGTCCAAACGGCATGCGTTTAAATCGATATTGTGTCTGACCCACGATGAAAGCCGTCTTATCTCTGTCACTTTGTTTTATCGGTATCTGCCAGTATCCTGAGCGAAGATCGAGAACCGAAAACACATTCGCACCTTGTAGGCGATCTAAGGTTTCTATCACTGTTGGCATGGCACACGGTCTTAACTCTGTCATACTGTTTAACTGTCGAAAATCAACACAGAATCTATATTTCCCATTCGCTTTTTTTACTAACAGCACTGGAGAGTTGTATGGGCTATCAGCTTCCTCAATAATATCATCTTTTAACATCTCTTGCACTTGTCGCTCCACTTCGCCTTCCAGATGACATGGAACTCTTCGCGTTAAAAATGACCTTACTTTCGGATCACTTAACGGAATTTCATGATTCACCTTATCGCAATAACCGTATGGGTCCCATCTCCAGTGAACAGATGATCGTATTTATTAATTAACTCTGTCACATTGTGTACCGTCGACAGCTTAATCGCTGCTATCTCGCTGGTCTCATACATGTTGATATGCCCGTATTTCGTGATCACCACGTTCGCTTGCGTGTCGATTATGGCACCAATCTCACGCAGAAAATCCGCTCCTAATATCGTTCGCTGTAGTTCGGGTACAACAATGAAAGGAAACGTCACCTCGCAGCCACCAACAACGACCGTACAGTTCGATCTACCCGTGATACGCAACACATACCCGCCTACTGTTTGTACTGTCAATGAACACGGATTAACACTCTTACATAAATTCTTATCTATTAACGACACGGCCGCCCTGTATCTATCAAACATACTACTTCTCGATCATTCACTCGCAACTTCGAATACAGAGCGCCTTTCTCAATAGCCCCCACTAAATCTAGGTTCATACGAAAGAAAGAACAAGCATTATACCGTCTGAAATTTTTTCTTTTTCGCCTTTCTGGGCAGTATCTTCTCCAGTGTCCCGGCTTACCGCATTCAAAACACCGGTCTTTTCTATCAGCCAACTTTAACGCCGCCACTTCCCGCTGCAATGCTTCAATTTTTGCTCATATTCGTTTGGTTTTGGTTGGTCTATAGCGGCTACCGTTGTGCTCAGCAGCTGTCTGGTCACCTTCGCCAGCTCACTAATATCCATCGGCTGCGTTGCGTTAACCAGTTTTAATCGCTGAGAAATGTGGTCGGGGACACTCTCGATGAATTGGGAAGACAGTAACTGCGCTTCTGATTCTTCATCTAAAGTGGGAAGCGCGCGTCGAAGTAGATTAGTCAGTTTCACCGCCAACACTAGCGGGTCTCCATCAGGTCCAAGCTTCATTGACCGGAACTGCTGCATTGCTAGCTGTCTGTCTGTTTCGCTGTCAAACTCGGACACTAGTCGTTCAACCAATTTCTTCCAAGACGCTGTGCCATTTGACCTGTCTACGCTGTCATATGCAGCCTTCGCTCGGCCTCTCAACAGCGTCCCCAGGACAACTGCCTTCGCCGCCTGCTCCTTGACACCCACCAGCTCAGCAACGGCTTCGAAGTCACGTAAGAAGCTCCGTATGTCACCTTCTTCAAACGCAGCTGGCCACGGGATCTTCATCTTCTTGGAGGCAGCGACACCAAATGTAACAACAGAAGACAAGGGCTGGCAACAGATCGTTTTATTACGAAAATCAACACGTATTTATATATATTTTATATGCATTAATAAGGCTTATGCAAGCAGAAAAAGGCAGTCTTCTGATTGGTTGTTTCTCGGAAGTTAAGCAGACAAACACAGTCTTATGATTGGTTGTGTTCGATATTTCTCGGAAAGTAGAGCCATCTATCTGCGAATCATATTTGTCCACATTTAGGTTTGCTGTGATTGGTTGTTGAAACAGCCTTGTTCACGGTCAATATTAGTGACCTAGACATTAACGTAGATTAGTGCCAACCAATCGGCTAGCAGCCTGCTCTCACCACACTACTATACGGATCACAGACGTGGCACGTTACGAAGGGCACTTCAAACAGACTACAGACCTTCATCAACAGATGTCTTCACTAAATACTGAAGATCAGATAGCCAGAAAAGATCAGCAACAGGAATCTCTGTGAGCAAACCAACCAGGAACCAACTGAGCAACAAATAAAAAGGAGTGAATAGAGGTGGATTGGCCATTAAATGACATCACACGCCAGGCCCTTAAGTGGAACCCAAATAGGAAGCATAGAGTTGGTCGTCCGGGGGTGACATGGAGGAGGTCATGCGAAGAGGAGATGAAAGCATGTGGGCAGCCGCAAAGCCAGGTGAAAACGTTGGCGGAGAACCGAACGCAAAGGAGAAGTCTTACGTTCCTCTAGGAACTAAAGGAGACAATAATAATAATATACACTTATCTTTACAGTGCTGTTTGTATTTCTTTCCACTTGCCTAGTTGTGACCTTGGAACCCTTTTGATTGCCGACTGTTTTAACTTATAAATGTAATTAGTGTCTATCAAGGCCATTTAAAGCATATTTACACGCGACTACTGTCTACCCTTTTGGCTGTTTCTTCGAGACAGTAAAAGCTCTCAAAGTAAACGGTCTGCCTTCTTGTGTCGCAAGTTCAGTGGTATCATATAGTATCGTTGACGTTACTAATAGAGCAACTAGAACAATAGGCTCAGGAAAAGACTAGGTAGGAAGTTCGTTAGTGCAAAATAACAAGTGTACTACTAACGGTCATAACAAAATCACCAATGACTAGAGACTACTGGTCATGATGTCTCAAAATCATCGTTCTCAATGGCTAAGGTTCATCCACTTTACGTCATATCTTATATCCATTCAATCCTCAAAGTTTTTTTCAGTGTTAGTATTCTTTCTTCCTTCCGTACATTCTGCTAATTATTTTTTTTCTATTTTATATACCTTTGTGTGTGTGTGTGTGCTACACGGAGGAGGTGTGGCAACTTGAAGTGCTACTGCACTTTTATGCAAAGTGCTATACTGAAACCATAGACCACCGATGTCATTGAACAGTATTTCTCCTAACACACCCTCTCTAATTTGTGGAGCCCATTCAGTCATTAACATCTCAGTAGAACTCTAGATAACTTTATCTTGTAGTCCAGTCACACTAATAAACAGTATATTAGAGTTTGTAAAGTGTTACTTTGCCGGGAGGAAATTACAAACTGAGAAATCGTATGTTACCCCACCGGGTGCCACTGAATCAGTCAGGCAAGAGGATGACACTGACTGGTAGGCCGCAATATATATATCTATCGCGAATTCGCAGAAGTTGGAACTCATGCGTTGGTCATGGGATTGGGTTCCAATGGCTGAATGGTTGTCAACAAGCTCGCCTTGTAACCGAAAGGTACTAGGTTCGAACCTCAGTGGGTGTGTAATGCTGAAAAGTCCGAAACTAGGCTGATGAAACAATTGCGCCCAGTATTCCATTGTTATTGATAGTCCTCTAACTGATGTCAACACATGATCAAACCTGTTGTCAATTATGTCACACAGCCCACCTCCTCTACTCCACAGTAATGGGCCGCTATGTATTTCAGATAAATATAAAGTACGATTGTACATACAGCCTTTGAATATGAGAGAACTTTTAACAAGATTGATAAAGGAAATGACTCAACAGTTAGAGAATCATTGAAAACCAACCAGCAGGGATTACTATTTACAAGACGAACTCGTCGTATACCATTCAGTCACTGGGGCACGATACGACAGCCCATGAATTCCAACTTCTGCCACTTCATTAGCCAATGTCATCGTTGAATAGTTGGCCTCATTTCATGCTTTGTTGTACTACTCTACTGGTCACAACTGATCCCATTAAAACACTCCAGGTAATCACTAGTGAAAACCTCATTGGGTAAGTACATGTTAAAGAGTCAGTGTCAAACAAGGAAGACGAAACACTTGTGTCCAGTAATCTCCCCTTACTGCTGATACTCAGCTCGTCATCAGACCTGTATAACCAATTGTACCCACCCCACGCTGCTGCAAACACCAATAATACTTGAAAACGTATATAATCGATAAACTAAATAAGGCTGCTCACATAGAATTCTCCATTTCAGACGATAGACAACTGAAATCCAGTGTTGTTATATCTTCCACCAGGTTGGATGAACTGTTGTCTGGCGATATTGACGGTTTGAATAACAGAGTTGAACTACTAGAATGACTCATTGATTGTTTACAACTTGAAGCAGTGGTAACACTAATATTATTATTACTACTACTATTGATATTATTTATATTGGCAGCATTAGGAGCATTATTGGCGCTAGAAATACTAGGAGTAATAGTATTACTTATAACTGGATTGGATAAATTCATTGATGACATCAAATGGTCAACACCAGCTGTCAGAAGAGCTTCATGTTCCTCTTGCATTATCAAGGTATCTTCATCTTCCGGTGGGGCGATCACTGACGGCAACACACTCCAACGACGACCACCAGCACGAAGTAACCAAGTGAACCATGCATGAATACGATAAAATATCTATACGAGAGAGGAAGATAAAGGGAAATAAAAGTAGGAGAATCGATGATAATAAACTCATTAATTAATTGTATAACAACAGGTTCGACCACGGACTGATAACGTGAAATAGAGAACCACTGAAAACCAGCCAAAGTCAGTAACGCCAGAGAGCTAGCCGTCTCATCACCTATCGGTGGCACGCACTTATCATCCAGAACCTTCCAACTACACTTCAGGAGCGTTGGTGACCATAGAGGCTATTACTGTGGATCCGTCCGATTCAATGGTCTACACACACATGAAATCTAACTTCTACCAATTTGTGATTTTAGCGTGACTGATGGTGCCAGCTAGTGTCATTGGTGGCGTATATTTCTCCTCAGGCTACACGACAGCTTGATGGACCCCATATTGATCATGACTTCCTACCAGAACACTCCAGGAAACCTCATCTATCTGTAGCCAGCCACTAGCGGGCATCATATTAATTTTGAAGAGGTAGTTTGTAGGGGGAGAGGGGATTTGATTTGCTTCAAGTTTGATATCACCGATTGACATCAGTTAGAGATGTAACAATCCTCATCAACGGCAGAAATTCCAAGTAGGTCATACAACGATAACCTAATTGGCCTGGTCAGTATCATTTCAATCACTGACGGTAGCGGAGATGATAACGTTTTCAGCAACATCTAATATCTAATGGATTCCATACATGTATATAAATGAAACAAGAAAGTTGCGTGTATGAGTGCCTGTATATGATTATCAGCAATAATTTGTGCCCGAAACGTCATCAGTAAATATTACTGTATAACACTATTAGATTTTTCAAAAATAAAATCTTATGCATAATGAAGTCATACTCTACCAAAGTGCCCAATTTTTATACTTATATCAATAAAAGCTAGCATTATTACTATTATTATTATTCCCTTGGATTTCCAGTGAAACATAGGATTTCAACAGGAGCACATCTCCATTTTGTCCTGTTCTCTATAGTCCCCTTTAGCTGGTCCCATTGTGGTGAGATCAGGCTGCTAGCCAACTGGTTGACATTAATCTATGTCAATGTCTAGGTCACTAATATGGGCCGTGAGAAAATATGAACAAGGCTGTTTCAACAACAACCAATCACAGCAAACTTAAACGTGGGCAAATATGATTCGCAGATAGATGGTTCCACTTTCCATCCGACGAACTCGAAAACAATCAATCAGAAGAGTGCATTTGTCTACTTGACTAAGCTATAATAATGTATGTGAAATTTATATAAATATGTGTTGATTTCCGCAATAAAACGATCTGTTGCCCGGCCCTTGTCTTCTGTTGTTACACCATGATTGCCCATAGGTTCTCATCTCCTCCACCTCATACGATCTAATCCTTGTCTCCCTCGAACACACGACAAACTAATTCCATTGTGGATACAATTTATTTTTGATAAAGTCTCACAGTGTTATACAGTAATATTCACCATGGAATTATACTCTGCCATAGTGCACAAGTTCTGTTCTTATACACGACATACTAGTCGTTCCCCATTCGGGTTCCACTCGAGCGATAACTTGAATGGCGCGTGATGTCACTCGACAGTCTCCTCAGAGTGTATTCAGTCCATCCATCTCCACTTTATTCAGCAAATTTGATGAAAACATTAGGCTTATTGACTGGTTAATTTCCATCCAAAGTCCCTTGTTACTTATCATTTTGTCACATTGAACTAGAGGAGGCAGTACATGTTTTTAAGCTCTGGATAAGTCTTTGAAGCACATAAAAGCACTCAATAGCTTGACATTCATCATGTTGAAAATTAGAATCATGTTTCTTTATACTCAGTGTAGTAGGTTTCGACATACTGATCTCAGAGTGTGTAATGAACGCCTTTTTTCCTTTCACGATTGAATCTTGATTGGCTTTAACATCCACAAATGTGGAACTGTGTGTAGTTGAAACGATGCCACCGAGGTCAAGCAACTGAAGCAGATGACCTCCTTTGCATTCCACAGGTTTGGTGGTGATTAGTGCCAACTGCGTGTAGAAGGAAGAATATTACAGTGAAAGTGAAAGAAGTGACTTCCTTCGAATTTCTCACGTTGATAGTATCATTATTACTTATTTATTAGTACTCCTATGGGTTTCAAGCGCGAAAGACGGCCTTAGCTGGGTCATATCTACATTTTATTCTGTTCTCCACACTCTTCATCCGCTGATTTTGCTGATTTCTCACAATACTTCATTTTCTTGTCGAACGATCCCTTCCATTTCACTCTTGAACCTATACCCAACCAATCCTTTCCCATTTTGGGTTCAATTCAGGGGTCTGACTGTCATATGGTGCTATTCATCACCCGTTTTCCTTCTGGATATTTCTTGGGCGATAGGTTCTTAGTTGATTTGTCGGCTAAGTTCCTTATTGTCGATCCTTTCCTGTCAAGTGGCCATCTTAACAAGATAGAGAAGTCCATATCTGTTGAAGAAAGTATTCTAAAGTCCGACACACTAATTCTACTTAACTTCGAATTCTTCAATTCCCATCATGGTTATGAGTGTTTCTGTGTCTTCTAAAAGCAGATACTTCTCACAGCCGGAAAGTACACATTCTCTGTTTTGTTATCGTTTACTGAAATGTAAATTGGGCAACTCGATTGAATATTTGGCAGACGGTATTGACTACTAATTAATTAAGACCACAACCCTCTAGGCTTAGGGCATGGAAATAAAGACAGAAGACAGATTAGTCAGTGACGATGAGAAGAATTCAATCTATTGGACGAAAAATAGGTTATATACATGCATTACAAACCTTCAGCAGGTTAAGCCACCAAATAACTAATGAAATTGGTTGCATATGATCAGACTTTGAAAGTTGTCCAATGATATTATAATAAACCTTTCGCCTCTCAACCGAATGGTTGAATAAATCGTTTCATGGTTTAGGCCATTAGTACCTGCCAGATTAAAATCATCTAAAAACAACTCCCAGACAGCCATTTCGCCACCCGCTGTACGCGGTTTGACACGGTTCATCAGAGGAAGAGAACCAAATCAGTTGAAACCAACTTATTTCTGGCCGCGATTAAGGGTAGTAAAAATTAAATTTGCAAAAGGAACAATTAACACACACATACGGTTCGAGGAGGCAAACTTCACCGCAGGTACCTACCTACCTACCTCCATAGCTGACAAGTCTCAAATAGGTCGTCCACAATCAAACTATACAAAACGTACACACAGTAACATATACATAAACACACATGTGCACCTAACCTGATCATCTTTCGTCAGATCAGCTAATGAACGCATATCTGAATCGGTAGCTCTTTTCTGTCGTGTTTCTCTACCCAGAGTTGAATGATGATGGGGATAGAAATTAGAATTTGTCGCCGCGACTGCATTCCCTGCGGCTATCGCCTGACCATAGAGTACAGGAGCTAAAGCTGCCGGTGGGGTAGCACATCGTCTTAAGGGAGCTGTAGTTGCCGAGGTTGTTGTTGCAGTAGATGTGCGACATTGATTTGTACCTGTTGAGGTGACGACAGCATTGTTGGATATTTCATCATTGAACACTTTATTGGCTGATAAACGCAATCGAGATACCATACGAGATATATTAGATATCTGTGCGAAAAGAAAAAATGGATCTTTTATAAGAAAAAGACATGTAGTTAATATATATATATATATATATATATATATATATATATATATCTTTACCAACATCAGTTATAGAGAATCATCATCCCAGTGTGAAACTCTTCAACAGCTAAAACCCGTGAACCCAGACAATTTACAACCTAAAAGCTTCCGATTATGAAACAAGCTCGCTTACATTCGACTTCTAATGATTGACAACCCATGATACATAGTGCCACCAACACCAGACAATGCAAGTAGCACCCTGGAGGTAGCTAGTTACTTTTTTCTAGTTCGCAACTCTCTTCAACAATGCCCATCCATCATCCGAACACGAGAGATCAAACCGTACACCACAAAAAGAAAAGATCTGTCAGTGAAAACGAATCCTCCTACAAAAGCAGACGTTCTGAGTGTTATACACTTGTTGAAAGCCAAAAGGACAACAAGATAGGATGGAACACCTACAGAAGTACTGAAGACGGATCCAGAGAGATCATCGTGTCACCAATGTGGAAAGTTTAGAAGGAAAGATACCACCTACACATTGGAAGAGTTTACCTATTCAAACCATCAAACAAGCCATAGAGAGAACTAGGGTGGAATTATACTCTTGTCCATTTCAAGCAAAGTTATCAGCCACGTCATCCTGAAGGGAGACTAAAAGATCCTCTGGATGGCAACCTCTGCCTGGAAGAAACTGGACTTAGGAAAGACAAATTATGTGTGGTGTAAACCAACAAGTTGGCAGAGAAGAGGCAAGCAATGAAGACAGGATTTCAAGTGAACATAGAGAAGACAAAGGTGATGAAGATACCTAACCAAAAACAACAACAACAAACTGGCGAAACTGTAAGGAAGTCACCTCTTTCACTTATCCGATGACATGGATGAAGATGTCAAAGACAGACCTGCGTTAATCTAAAATCAGTATGGGAATCTACTCGACTCAGAACAAGAAACAAGATTCGGATTTTCAAAACTAATGTCAAGTGTTATTCAGTGCTTCTATATATGTTTCGCAGATTTGGCGCACGCGTCACCAAAAACGACATTTCCAAACAGGTTTAGTGCAGACTTTGATCAATGGCTGCTGTTGCTTACGGTGATTTGATACTCAAGTTTGTTAGGTGACTGGTCAAGCAGGGATAAGCAACAAGGAACTGTGACAGTGCGAATAACCGACCGAGATCCGATCGCCCAAAAAAATATGCAGAGGGAAATGCAAGTAGAGACCATTGAGTAACATCACGCACAACGCAGGCTCCCTTTGAATACAACCCCCAAATGACAGAAGATGAGTTGGGCGTGGATTCAAGAGCAACATGAAGGAAACGAAAGCTACTAAGCAATCAGGGAGGCAGCCACCTAACAGGAAGACTGAGAAGAGCACACCTAACACTCTGGAGATAAAGCGGAGACACCTAAGGCCAAAGACAGCCAGCCAAACTTCCCACATCTTCCGCTTTCAATGACCAGATTTCACTCACAGCCATAAAGGAAGATAGATAGATAGATAGATAGAGCGAAATGCTACTTCAGGTCAGTACACACGTCTTTTGATTGATAGCTAGTGTGATATCAAACACGTCTACGCCAGAGATGGAGGAAGTTGTGGACAAATGCCACACGGCTCTTTTTTGTATCCTTACTGATATTTCGACCGATATTTGATACCTTGATGTGGTGGTGGTGGTGGTGGTGGTAACATGGCTTGCATATCACGATAAACTAGTGAAGCTGTAATACCTGGAACTGATGTTTCTGCAGGTCCCAATATGCCGTCAGAAAGGTTTTTAGGAGATCGATTAGACTAAAAGCAGTTACCAGCTTAGTGTAAGATTTTTACACCATTCTGAGGATCTGTCGTTAAAGTGGTACTGCTAGGAAACAGGGGTGTAACATCAGTAAGGTGTTTTCCTGAGCTGACCAGCATACCAGTTATTCTACCCTCTACTCTGAAGAGGGGGTAGGGTATAAATGGTCAACTCTGAAAATGCTACATTCCAGCTTACTCTAAAGCGGTCCCTATTGGGACACAACTCCAATAACCAGTTCAAACAGGCCTTGTGCCACCGGCCTCTAGAAGTTGCCCCCCGGGCCCCCTGAGGTCAAGTAACATTATTTTTTTTTGTATTTTTTGATTTACAGCTTGATTCCATACTGCATTTTTGGTACAAGCATGGAATTTTCAGCATGGATATCGGTAGCCCAAATTTTGCAGGCCGACCATAGATATCAGGTGTGCGCCGGCGTGGGCTCGAACCCCGGACCATGTGCATGGTCGGCGAGAATCCTAACCACTGTGCCACCGACGCACTTCGTCTCAGATATCCCAATAAAACACTATGTTTGCGATAACACACGATTAGACTGGATAAGAGTTAGGTAGGGGAGGTCAAATCAAAACCTGACATTAGTCCATGAAGTCTTTGACAGCTTGGTTTGAGCAAGCCATGTAGGGAGGTATAGACCCAGTTGAACGGTAGAATACCTAAAACTTGGTAAAGGAATGGTGATTTGGGATTTGGTATCTCTATATACCTCAATTATGTATACCTTATCTTCAACACACCGTTTGCACAGATCTCCATGTTATGGTACTTCTGGACTTGATATTGTGTTTCTTTGTGTGTTTTTTCACGTCTCCCGTGTATCTTCACAACGCTGTATCATTTACCTTCCCTGAAATCAAACGTATTCCCTGATATTTGGTGTTTTTTATGCTGATGAACGTCTCTTTATATGGTGCTGATATATCTTATCAGTGGCACTCACCACACTAGGAGTGCTGAGGATCAATAACTTGGGAATATTGGTGATATGGCTCAAAATCGTCCCTTGTGTAACCTACCTCCTAGACCCATTAAACCTTCACGTTATCCTGTGTTACTGTTCTTTCTTTCCCCCATACATTTCTGTTCGTTATAGTTTTTCCGAATCTCTTATCTTACTCTACAATTTTTGGGCTATATGAAGTGTCAACTTGAAGAGCTGTTGCACTTCTGTGCTAAGTTCTATGTTGAAACTCAGTCAGCGAGGAGACCATTAAGTGATATCACACACCGCGTAGGTTATCGAGTCGGTGTAGGGCAAAGGGGCACATGAGGAAGATTATGTGAAAAAATCAAATCTTGTGAGACGACAGTTGTGGAGCCAGGTGAAATGCTTGTCTACGTCTAGCGAAACATCCACCAAAGAAAACTCAACGAAGCCTTTCAAGTGAATACAGGAGTTGCATTTGACTGCTTACTATTACCGATGATGATATCCCAAATTTTGGTGGACTGGATTATGTGGAAAACAATATGTGGGGAACGAAAAACCACGAATACGTTGGATTGACAAGTAGACTCTAGAAGATCTGGATTTCCCGTGGATGATTTGTGTATAATGTCACACACACAAACTGGATACCTACAGAAGAAATACCAACAAGTCGGCAGAAGAAGCTGGAAGCAGCAAAGACTTAAACTGAAGATAGAGATGACGGAGGTGATGAAGATAAACAACTAACCAACAACAACAAGCACCAATCACTATCTCAACGGAAGAAATTTCAAAGAGGGGTCACTCTCTTCACTTATTTGGCTATGATGCACAGCATCGTTCCAACTACAGGCAGTGGGCAAGGTTTAGGATGTCAAAACCAGTAGTCACGAGAGGAGTGGCAAAAAAGACCTTTTCTCCACTCTGAAATCAGTTTGGAAATCTTCTGCACTCTGCTTCAAAATAAAGAACAAAATTTGGATTCAGTTCAACACAAATGTTAAATGAGTCAGTCATTTCTTCTATATGGGTGATAAAGTTGGCCAGAGCATTTCTAACAGCCAACTGCAGTCTATTATCAACCACTGCGTTTGCAGGCTCCATGCTGAAAATCAGATGTCCGGTCAGAAAGAATTAGCAACAAAAAACTCTGGGAATGAACCCATCAAGAACCTTCTGCCTACCCAACATATATTCCGGAGAAAATGAAGATGGGTTGGACATTTGCTGAGGAGACTGTTAGGTGGCGTAGAGTGCTAGGCCATCACTCCAGTGGAACTAAAGTGGGAAACGAAGAATTGGGTTTTCGTCAGAGGGTGAAGAGGACCACCAATAATAGGACGAAATGGAGATGTGCCTCGGTTGTAGCCCTATGTCCCACTCGAAACCTAAAGGAACAAAAATAAATAATAACAATAATAAAAAAAATAATAAAAATTATTGCCTGAATAAAAAACCCGATTGTGAAACTTACTAAAAATGACCACAAATTCAGCAAATATATTTTATTCCACGATACAATTAGTATACTATAACGACTTTGATTTCCTCGAGCACGTGAATCATTCAGTGAGAAATTATAACTAAACACATGACCATTTGTCTCATCACCGAAATAGAAGACACCAACTTGTCCAGGACATACCTACACGGCAAAATATTAGTAAAGACAATTATGTATTAATAGTAGTAATAATCAGATCAGATCATTGGCTGCACTAAAGAAAAGCCGTGACCAGTGAGGTGCACCATGCATCAAGGTGAGGAAGAGGATGCACTCATCGAAGACAATGTTTGGCCACGATAACGCTATATTATTACACGGGTTGAAAACGCTAGAATGCAGAGTTTGCGGAATCCAGTCCAACTCAAGTGTGACTGAATGGTCAACGAGCTTTGCCTCTTCGCAACCCAAAGGTTCCAGGTGGCTCAATCTCTGGCGGGGTCGCGAGTGCACTCTGAAGAGGAGTCACGAAACATGCGGACGAAACAGCTATACAGTACTCCCTAGGGTGGTTTCAATGACCTCTGTAACTGATATCAACTCGTGGTCAATTGTGTAACTAATCAAATCCCCTCTCTTGCAAACCAACACTTGGTAAATGATTAATCTGATACTCACTAGTGACCGGCTCTATACAGCAAGTAGTTACCTGGAGTTCTTAGTTAGAATTCATGTGACCAGAGGAGTCCACCAAGCCAGATAGGATAACAATTATTTGCCCATAATATTGGCTGGCGGTGATAGCGCTATATATATACATATATATACCGCGAATTGGTTGAAGTTGGAATTCATCCGTTGGTCACTGGATCAGGTCCCAGCCGCTATATAGTCTACGAGATCGCCTTGTAACTGGAAGGTCTTGGATTGGAACCCTTATGGTGTGTGCATACTGCTTAAGAAGAGCCCAAACTCGACTGGACGAAACAGCTGTGGCTGGATCGTTTCAAAACGTTCTTTAACAATAATTCAGTCAACATCTAGTTTTATAAAAATTAATCTTAAATTTGATGGTGAAATGACTAACACAAGTCAGTCGACAAATCACTGAAAAATACAAGCAGTGGGGAGTGCTGAATGGCAGTTTTATCCAAAATTTGGGACTAACTTTTCAGCAAGTACACACAATCATGACTCATCCCATCAACCAGAGCAGAATCCAATCGTCGAAGCATAAATTCTAACCTGGTGCGATTTGTGCTATGCATACAAAACGCAAACGACATCAGCCATTGTGTCATCGGTGGCTACTCTTATCTTTATAGCAGCCAATGTGGTTGGTGGACTCCATTACCCGTGGTGGATATGCGTGACTTCCTTCCTAGAACACCCAGTCAACTCTTCATCCTCCTGCAGTCATTCATTCACTGACGCACTAGTGAGCATTAGATTACGCGTTAGGTAAGGGAGAGGCGGAGGGGAAGTCAGTCACGATGGATCGATTTAGGAGATGGATAGGACAACAGATGTAACGCATAGTTAGCCATAGCCTTCCTCGATAGGTAACGTAAGGAAACAACATAAGATTAGATGAGAAAAGAAATAGTGCTGGTCAAACCAAACCTTGTCATCCATCCATAAAATCTTTGAAAGCTTGAGTTAGCCATGTAAGAAGGTGTAAACTGTCTGACTGGCTGGGAGTCTTCGAGATTCTAAGATCTAATGATGGCTGGAGATTATTGATGATTGGGCTAAAAATCGTCATTCTCAATGGTGGCATAGATGCTGTCTGTCTGTCTGTCTGTTTTCGACATAGAACTTTGCACCAATGTGCGGTAGTTCAAGTCGCCACACTCCATGGCATAGATGCGCATTCACTCTTAGTGATTTTAAACACACAGTGAACCCTAGGGTCTCAGTTGTAACAGTGTGATCATTTCTTGTTGGTTGTTGTCTAACTTGACCACAATGCATCCCGAGACAACACTATAGCCATCCCAGAATATGCTATGGCTGCACGGAATAGGATAAGGTTGTCGCCAAAATGGCTGCACTGTGGCAACCTGAAGAGTTGCTGTACTTTTTAGCAAAGTTCTATGTTGAAACTCAGTCTGTCAGTCAGTCAGTCAGTCAGTTAGAATCTCATGAAGACAAGGGAGTTGTCGAAAATGGAATATTCTTTGTTTACGATAATCCCAATGTATTTTTGAAATTCACAAAAGACGTCATAAATCAATACATCTGCTTTTCAGCATATTGCTTACGTGAAAATTTATTATTATCACTATTATTGTTACTGCCATTTTTAGAAACGTTATCTAAACCAGGCCCGTCTACTTACATACAAATTTACAACTTTTAAGGTATCCTAAAAATCAAGTCAGTCAACCATGTATGTTCAGATTTCTTATCGAGCACCACTGTTTACACCAAAATAAACGTATAAATAAGTTCACTTTTAAATAATGTAGAATATACAAATATATTGGTGACACGATTAAATGGGGGCTAATATCAGTTGGAGGATCATTGGGAAACTAGCCAGCCAAAGGGAGTAGTACCAGACAGCTGTTTTATTCAGTCCTAAGTTTGGGACTCTTCTTCATAGTACACACCCACTGGCAACCGAACCCAGGATCCGGGTACAAAGTGAGCTCAAACATAACTCACTCACAGGGACCCAACTCAGTGTTTTACGCATGGATTCCAACTTCTACCAATTTGTGATTTTAACGCGACCGACGTTAGCCTATGTCATAAGCGGCAAGTACATATCCTCACTCCCGAATGACGCGGTACACCCCAAACCGGCCACTAGAACACTCCAGTCTACTTCCTCATGTAGCCAATCGGAAACCAGTGAGTATCACGTTAATTTTCAAGATTTAGTTTACAAGAGGGAACTGATTTGTTTCAATTTTCACCAGGGATTGATATCAGTTAGAGTAGCATAGAAAACCGGGATTAGAGTACTGAACAGCTGTTTCTTCCTGGTTAACGAGATATCGGTATTAAGCACACACACACACACCACCCGCTTCCCAACCACCCAGAACCTTCCGATCACAAGGCAAGCGCACATGGAAGCCGACCCATTGGGCAGCCCATAAGTTCCAACTCTTACCATTTCCCGATATATTTAATGCAGCCACTAACCAATGTCATACGTGTAACAGAAAGACCGCTTGGAAATTAACTCCTGAATGTTCTTACTTTAATATTTATACAACTTATTTGGATGTTTCAACTAATTTTGTAATTATTATCCGTTTTCCACCCAGACTGCATATCATTCATCTGGCATTTGCATATCACATGTTGACTTAATCGTCATAATTCGCCTTTGTTACTGTTTAATCTCTAACACTAATGCTTCTATTTGCGGTTGTGCTACGATAATGACAATGTGTTGTCTTACGATGTGACTTTGTTTGAGAGAATCAAGGAATTTCCAACCTTGATCCGTTTCACTTAGATTTCCTGGCGTGTGATTCCTCTAGACAGGGATTTTGACCTAACTACGTTCTTTGGAGTATCCTACTTCAGTCTAATTACCCATTTTGTACTTAGCAACTGACATTGACGGTATAGCTGCCTAACGGCACTGTTGACGTAATTTTGTGGTTTTGCCATTATTATTATTATTTGAAAAAACTGCAAATTTATTCAAGAATAATAATCTCTATGCAGTCGTCTTTGCAGCGATTTCTCACCGTAGGTGTTTCAAGCAACGGTCGCATGGCTGCTGTAAAATAAGACGCAGGAACCAGCTGCGTGAGTTAAGATCTCAACGAGACTCGTTGGCTGGTTTCACCACACTAATTTGCACAGAAGTGTACCAGTTCGAGTTGCAAATACACACCTCCACCTCCATAAACCGCAAAAAACAAGAAATGAGATTAATCAGAGAATCAAAAGAGTGAAAATCAACAGAAATTTCAGGCGAAATCAATACTAGTATGAAATAGCAATCCAGTTTTATTCGATGTCACAGATTACAAAGAGAGAATGTATCTCAGTAGGAGATTAAGAACGACCGTCTTCAAACAGCCACTTCACTAAATATCCTTAGCTTCCATCGGTTCATACTACATCGAAGATCCCAAGTAATCAGTCAGTCTACATCGTCCTACAAGGCTAGCTCAAACTAACTGTCAAAGATTTCATGGATTAATTCCGTGTTTTGGTTTGACCACCACTACTAGCTCTTCTCCAACCTCATCGACCCTATGTCAGCTAACGTTGGTCGTCGAGAAAAGCGATGGCTAGGCTACCATGCATAGCACATATCCTAGTCATCTTAATCGATCCATCCAGCTGCTTCCCGATCTGATCGACAAATGCCTAACCTCAATATAACTCACCCTACTAAGCCTACCACCTAACAAGGAAGATAGAATGGAGACACCTATGATCAAAGACGGCTAGCCGGCCTTTTCATATCTTCCACTTTCAATAGTCATGTTTCACTCACAGCCAGCCATTAAGAAAGATGGAGTGAACTGCTACTTCTGTTCAGTACACACATTCTTTGGTCGGAACCCAGCCAGATATCACGTCTACTAAGTCAGAGATGGTGTAATTCGGCGAATTCCAAACGAGCCTTCTGTATACCTGCTGAGATTTATTCAGCTGTCAACACTCTGGTGCTGATGCAACTCCTCAAATAACTCAAGTGGTAGTAAATACGCTCTCCGACTTCACTCCCTATCTTCAGGCCAACTAGGGCTCGATGTAGCCCAGTTCTGTAGCGTCGTTTTACATTTGACAGGAGCGAATCGCATGCCAAACATTCAGATTGTTGCTCAAGGTGTGCAAAAGACTGCATTTTCTCAGCGTCTTAATCTCGAAGGACTGTATCATCTGCATATTTTAAGTTAACGAGATTATTCCTTGGTAACAAGTCAATCCCTGAGTCGTTGAAGTCAGTTATAGTTAATTCCATTAGTTCGTCTATGTTGAAATTAAAGAGAAATGGGGATAGTGGTGGGTATCCTTCACCGACAACGCCAACGAGACTGTTTTGGTCGCTACAAAAGGCAAATAATGGTTCTGTAACCTGATTTGGTGGGTATGTGCCGCTGAACAGTGAGTCCCAACACTAAGCAGACAAAACACCTAGTTAGCTAAGTACCCAGGACTGTTCACTGCTTGTGATAGTTTTCCAATAGTTCTCTAAATGGTGTCAGTTCATGGTCAAACTTGTAACTAATCGAATGCCTAATATTTTACTTGAAATCACGAAAATATTACAAAAAATAACGGAGTCCATACACGCACACACACCAAAAACAGAAAAACTACACATGATATTATATTACCCACACCTACCTCGCAAGAAAGACTTCGTAAACAGGCGTTACGCACATACGTATTCAAATCAGCATCTTTGATGAACTGCGTGGAAATGTATGAAGTATTTGCCGCCTGATCATGACTTATTATCCCTGGTTCATCACGTAACATAACAGAAGAGCATGCTTTACAAGTCGGATGTTGCGAGGACTGTTGTTGTTGAAGGGAAGAAGAATGCGATGACATGCTTCCACTTGGTGCTGCTGTTACTGAAAATCTCGAGGCTAGCAGATCAAAATATTTTAAAATGGAAGAAGGCAGAAACAAGATTAGAGAAACATTTCAGGAAAAAGACAGGTTATATTTCCCTAACACTGTTCATTTTAAACCAAAAATTGAAAAAAAACACCTGTATAAATAATTCTTCTAAGTTATTGAAGTCGTCACTAACTGGTTTTGAACTAGCTGACCACTATGGCAACTTTTGGCCGTGAAGAACAGAAAACTGGAGAAATTAAATCGCGCTGATCAAGGTACTCTACTCGACATCATGTAGCCATGTAAAACCTTACGGAGAGTCGTCAGCTGAAGTGACTTATGATGAAAACTAACTGGTGTCCACCACTATCCCCATTTCTCTTTAATTTCAACATAGACGAACTAATGGAATTAACTATAACTGACTTCAACGACTCAGGGATTGACTTGTTACCAAGGAATAATCTCGTTAACTTAAAATATGCAGATGATACAGTCCTTCGAGATTAAGACGCTGAGAAAATGCAGTCTTTTGCACACCTTGAGCAACAATCTGAATGTTTGGCATGCGATTCGCTCCTGTCAAATGTAAAACGACGCTACAGAACTGGGCTACATCGAGCCCTAGTTGGCCTGAAGATAGGGAGTGAAGTCGGAGAGCGTATTTACTACCACTTGAGTTATTTGAGGAGTTGCATCAGCACCAGAGTGTTGACAGCTGAATAAATCTCAGCAGGTATACAGAAGGCTCGTTTGGAATTCGCCGAATTACACCATCTCTGACTTAGTAGACGTGATATCTGGCTGGGTTCCGACCAAAGAATGTGTGTACTGAACAGAAGTAGCAGTTCACTCCATCTTTCTTAATGGCTGGCTGTGAGTGAAACATGACTATTGAAAGTGGAAGATATGAAAAGGCCGGCTAGCCGTCTTTGATCATAGGTGTCTCCATTCTATCTTCCTTGTTAGGTGGTAGGCTTAGTAGGGTGAGTTATATTGAGGTTAGGCATTTGTCGATCAGATCGGGAAGCAGCTGGATGGATCGATTAAGATGACTAGGATATGTGCTATGCATGGTAGCCTAGCCATCGCTTTTCTCGACGACCAACGTTAGCTGACATAGGGTCGATGAGGTTGGAGAAGAGCTAGTAGTGGTGGTCAAACCAAAACACGGAATTAATCCATGAAATCTTTGACAGTTAGTTTGAGCTAGCCTTGTAGGACGATGTAGACTGACTGATTACTTGGGACCCTCGGAATGATAAGAAGCTATGTACGATATATGTGATTGATGATACGGCTCAAAATCGTTGTCAGATGCATTTACTTTTCGAGATTTATGATATTCAGTAAATTCCAAGTTTTTGGGCATCACTGTTCTTCCCCAGTCATACTTTTGCTTGTTGTAGTCTTTCTGAATCCTTTTTGTTTTTTTTGTTTGCCTTTGTGAAGCATATAGTATGGCAACTCGAAATGCTGCGCCTATGCGCAAAGGTCTATGCTGGAACACGTCAGTCATTCAGTTAGCTGATTGTGTTTGTCCATAATTTCTCATCTTCTGCACCTCACACAACCTGGTCTATGTTACCCTCCAGGCGGTGTCCAGCTCTTCATTTTCTATCCAAGTTCAATCAAAGGGTCTGGCACGTAATGACATTCAACATTCTACTCAGGGTGTCTTTAATCCATGTCCATTTTCTTCGAGATATTTGTTGGATAAATTAGTGGCTTCCTGTTTATTTTGTTGCAAGGAAGACACTAGCGGAAATGCAGTGTTTTCTGATGAGAGGTCCCCCCTCTCCCTCCCTTGTCAAATGTGAAACAAGGCTGCAGGATTGGTCTACAACAATTTCGAGTTAAACACTCAGTGTGTGTTGACCACTTCACTTCTTTTGGGAAGTTGTAGGATCGTCCAATGGATTGATTGATTGATTGACTGTCTGCTGATGAAGTATTCAAAAAGCATACACACAAGACTCGGATTTTAAACACCTATGTTAACTTGGTCAGTCAGTTCTATATAAGACAAAAACTTTCCCAATGCTTCACGAATAGCATTTCCGGAAGGCTGCTGCAAACTTTTATCAACAGCTGTCTTCATTTCATACGCAACATCAGATGAGCGGTCAGAAAGAAATAGCGACAAGGAACTCTGTGGACGAACCAACCAAGAACCTATTGCCCAACAAATATGTAGAAGAAAATGGAGATGGGTGGGTTGGATACGCACTAAGGAGACCGTTGAGTGACGTCGCACACAAGCCAGACTCTCGAGTGAAACCAGTGGGGAATGACGACTTGGGCGTTCGTCCAAGTATGTCAAGGAGGAGATTGTTTGGGGAGGAGGATGAGAGACTACGAGCAGTCATGGGGACAACTGGGTGGGATCGCAGAGAATAGGAAAAAGTGGAGATGTGCTCCGGTTGGAGCCCTTTGTTCCACTCGGAACCCAAAGGAACAATAATAATAGTATAATATACACATCAAATGTTAGGAAAAATTAACAACAAAAATACGTAACACACTAGATGAAGGCAAGATGATAGCTGAGACATCTGATGACCCTGTTGGGATTGTATCAGCGCCACTCGTATGATTTTGAAACATTAAATTGGGTAAATTTCTTTGATATGAATTAATATCCACAGATTGGGGATCAGTGAATACAGCACCACCACCACCACTTTGTGAACTGATCACTGATAACTTTGATTGTTGTGTTTGCCTAAAGGGTTGAGTACACATAACAACTGATGGACCATGTTGTTCACAGAAATGACATAGAGCAACTACTGCATCCATTTCACCCCACCCCCTTCAATAAAAATAATAATAGCAATAATAATAATAATCGTAATCATAATAATAATAATCATAATAATAATAATAATAATAGTAATAATATTGTGGTATAATCATCGCTATTAACTTCGTTCAAAACATTTACCACAATATTATTACTAATAATAATAATAATAAATACATCAATTACTTATCTAAACAAAGACAAAAAATTCTAATTCATTGAAAACGCTCAAGAAAAATTTATAAGACAGAATCCTGAAGTTGGGAAAATCGGTCAAAAGAACGTCTAATGTCGGGCGGTAAGTTGCAGCTTACAGCTTTTTCACACAACTGATTGCGATTCAGCAAATGAACGGATGAAGTGCTTAGGCTAACCATCTCTTTCCTTGTATCTACTAATTTCACTGCTCCTCTCTCTGGAGCCAGTTATATTGGCTGTTGCACACTAGGAACCTAATTTTTCATGCTCGGGAACACCCACAAGTGTGGTTAAATTAAAGGCGTTGTTAAAACTGTTAACAGTTCCATATTTGACTAACTCTTCTCTAAACAGGTCAAGCTAGCATTGGAGAACCTTTCTTGATCACTGACCGGGTATCAAATAGACTACCAAAGGACTCTAAGTACCGAACACTCCGCGAAACAGCAGAGGCCACTGTATTTCGCCTAAAACAATCTGGACTCTACGTGTGCAAAAAAAAAACAGATTTAGTCACTATTACTCCCCTGACCCTCTGTAGAGCCTATAAATTCATAAATTCTGTGTTACTTCGATTTTTTTTATCCCTTTTACGTTCCCAGTGGAGCATATGGCTTCAAGCTACGGGCTTGAAGTTTCGGTGGCAGTGGTGTTTACTTTTACGGGATGGAGTCGCTAGCCTCATGCCCAACCTTCCGTCTTTACCAGTCTTATTGCTGCCTTAGTGAGGTAAAGGAGTGCGTCGGCCGAGGATAGAACCCCGAACCTGCATGGTTGGCGGGCACTCTACTTTTGTACCACTGACACACTTCGCTCAATTTATCCCGCATATTCAATCAGTTTGGTGTTATATTAATGCATATTACCTCTCCCTCTTAGAGATGCTTTTGAAATGTAATCTATCGAAAATATTGTTTCAACGTAATTTAAAACAGCAGCAGTGTTGTTAATACCAATACTTCTTTAATTATTATCGTCATATAAATGTAAAACCTGACTAGAAATTTATCGTAAAGAATCACATTCTTTCTTCATAAATCGGTCTTTTAAAGACTTAAAACATGAAGGTGATACAAGCCTGAATCTAAGTTTCAACGGAGAATCCATCCATGAGACGAAAACGTGAAGAGTAAAGAGACAAAAAAATCAGAAGTCAAAAGAATTATCTACATAATGAGCAGAAGTATGCAGTAGAAAAAGAAAATTACTATTTCCTTCTATTTCGAGTGGAGTACAGGGCTTCAGAAGTGCCCACATCTTCATTTTGTCCGATTGTCTGGCTGGTTTTACGATTGCTTATAAGCCTTCATTTCCTCCACATCAAACTATCTCCTCCATGTCACCCTCAAAGTAACGTCAAACTTATCGTTTCCCATTCGGATTCCACTCGACCGATGGCCTGGTATGACATGTAACTTCAAGATCTCGGCGTACCTTATCCATCTTCATTTCCTTTGGAATATTTGTTGGGCAACAGGTTCTTGGTTGGTTCATTCCCACAGTTTCTTGCTCCTAATTCTTTCTGACTAGTCTTCTGATTTGTAATACGTAGCTAATGAAGTCACCTGGGGACAAAAAGTCTGCAATAGCCTTTTGGAAATGCTTTTCGTGATGCGTACGTCAATTTTCTAACCCATATTGAAGCAGTGTTGAAAATCTAAAGTTTGTTGTTTATGATACGGCGGAGTGCAGATTTCTGAACTGATTTCAGAGCACCGAAGGTCTTTCTGACCTTTCCTATTGTGATTTTAACATCGTCAGTGACATCACCTGTAGTTGAAACGGTGCTTCCTAGATGAGTTAAGGAAGTGGCTTCTTTGAAATTTCCCTTGTTGACAGTGATTGTTGCTTGTTGTTGTTGTTAGCTGGTTGGTTGGTTATCTTCATCACCTTCGTCTTCTCTATGTCTACCTAAAGTCCTGTCCTCGCTGCCTGCTTCTTCTGTCGATTTGTTGGTTATCGCCTGTATATCTTCGAGTTTGTGTGACATGAAACATAAATCATCCGCGGGAAATCCAAATCTCCTAGAGTCTTCTAGTGGGTCGGACATATTCCTGTCTTCTCGCTCCCTATATGCCCTGTCCCGCAATTAGCATTATTATTGATAGTAGAAAGCCCTGTCTTACTTCAATACTCAAGCAAGGTAAACACTTGGCAATTACATATGAAAAAAATATTTCCTACAGTCACATTTTTCCACGTTTAGTTTTTTTAATACGACAAGCAATTCAGGAAAAATACAGCCAATTGAGTTCAACTATAATACTAACAACTAACCGTTGAATAAATGAGAAACATACGGTAGTAAATGTAAAGATAAAGGGAAGTTTATAAGATGATAGGACGTTGATATTTACGCAAGCTACGATGTATACAAACGCTAATTCCTCTCCCCAACTCTTACGGTATTTCTTCTGCCTAGACCAAGGACAAATTAAAACGCCAGATTTATCATCCGAAATACCAAGTGTATTTTGGGATCAAAATCGTAAAGCGATGACGATTGCTTAGCTAGCTAAGGATAGTATACGAACGAACGAACGACGGTAAGACGACAGTTTCCCAAAAGGCGTGGATGCTTGACCACCAACCTTCAGCTTAAAGAGTTGACATAAACAATGAGGGTCAATGCGTCCAACTTTGAGTGGTGAGTGATGTAGCCTAGTAATTTTGAGGAATTATTTACGGCTACAGGAGCAATAAAAGTACTCACATTAGAAATAGGATATGCTACTTTTTAACTTTCTGTTTTGTAGCCACTTGTAAAAATAAATTGGGATAGCATAAATCGAGTCTTTGAATCTACCTTCCTATTATATGTTGAAAAAAGACAACTTGGGAATTATTATAGGTCATGCTTTGAAGACAATTTCATATTGTAATATAGCTGCAGCTACGACTTTCCATATGTCATGGGTACTTCGAAGGGCTTTCAAACGATTAGATGAGTACTCTACACAACATGTCAGGCATCATCTAGAATACTGTATACAGGTTGATGGTTTATGCTTTATTACGTGTAGTACACCTTTAATGCTTGAACTTTTGTTTCTAACGCATACATGTACAAACTGGTGCCAAAGCCACTTTTGTTGTTATCTCTTTCTCTGCAATGCTGTCTCTTTCTCTGTAATGGGTAGTCTCATTTTGTGTCGGATAAACAGCCTTTCAATCTAGATAAGTTATTATACCATTTTCCAGAAGTATCTTGACTGCTCGAAAAAGCCGGTTACTAGTCATCAGTCTTTTTAATTTGTGCCCTGCCATCAGTCCTTACAATATAGATTGAGTACTAATTTATCGAACGCCAGGCAATCTTCATTCAGTAGGGTTGGCATCGCTTAGCTTATCTGAGGCATTATTAGCACCACACACGTATCCTTGAAGGAGTATAAAGGGAAATGAAATGAATTACCAAGTGTTATTTGCCACCTTCCTTATGAAATAAAACACTTGAATCTTCCCATTATTATACCGCAGGAAGGGTCAGTTAATTTCGGCATACATCATTTATTAAAAGGCGATTTGGAGACTGATTTGCCTAGCCTATTCTCTGCCCCATCTAGGATACCTTTACGGGGCCACTACATCAAGTTACTGAAACCGGAATTTCGATCTTCACATACACTGGTATATTTACAACTGGAATCCGTCATCCGCGACGAATTAATTTCAGCCTGACCGATGGACGATTTCAAAAAGGAATTAGATCTCTGAAGATACACATGTTAAATATAATAATAATAACAGCCCACTTGCCCTACTAACAGCTTTTAGTGCCCTTCTCAGCAAAGCAAAGTCTTTCTTAAGTAGTCCAAGAGAGATTAATGGGGAGCAGTAAAGGGGGATGGGTAGAATACAAGAATTGACAAACTAAGAAAGCAAAGACTGCTTTATGCCAGATTGCCTAAATTTCCTAACGTAGAACGTTAAGCGAAACATCTTTCTAGTAACTAGCAAGATGTGGAAGTACCAGGAAAGATCGGAAGATATACTCAGTCCAAGATACTTGACATTAGATATAATTTCAACTTCTATGCCGTCAATGATAGTGGGGCCATGTGAGCTAGCTGGTTGTTGTAGGTCACGTTTACATCTGAAAGTGAAATTGACTACCTGACATTCAGACAGATTTAGCTTAAGACCGTTTGAGGAGGACCACTGACTAATTTCCGACAGAAAGTTATTTAATTTGGAACAATCTGACTGAGAGTTGACAGGCATAGAAACAGAGAGGTCATCAGCATACTTAACAAAAGTGGCTACATCAGAATGAGGCAAGTCATGTAAGAAGAACAAAAACAGAAAGGGATAAAGAACAGCACCTTGAGGAACACCAGCTAAAGTAAGTGAGGTAGTGGAGGACTTTCCATTGTAGACAGTGTACTGCTTTCCATCAGAAAAATAGGAATGCAGCCATTTATTTGTCCAGCTCTTAGCCTGTGTTGCAGCAAGCTTACTTAACAAGAAAGACCTAGGTACAGAGTCTGTCTGTTTTCGACATACAACTTTGCACAAATGTGTGGCAGTTCAAGTCGCCACACTCCACTCCTTGTAGCACACAAAGCAAGAGAAGAAAGTACAAGAAAAGCATAATAGAGACAGTGAGCAGAGGTGTGAGACAAAGGAATAGTAGTAACGAAGAACAAAACAGTTTCATCGGAGATCATAAGTCACAAGGAGTGGATGTATCTGCGCCACTGAGAACGATTTTGAGCCATGTCACCAATTGTTTCCAACCATAGATTTTTACCGTCCCGAGGACCCCAACCAGTCAGGAAGTCTACACCTTCCTATGTGGCTTCGGCCAACTGTTATGGATTTCATTGACTGGTGCCAAGTTTTTGTTTGACCGCCGCTAGCTTTTTTCCAGCCTGACCCTATATCCGCTAACATTGCTCGTCGAGGGAGGCGATGGCTTGGCATACGTAACACATGTCCTAACCATCTCAGTCTTTGTAGCTTCACGACTTCGTCGATTGATTTCCCCTGTTTACCTAGAACTCGACGCCTAACCTCAATGTTGCTCACCTTATTATGCCACTTTACACGGGAAATAGAGCTCAGGCACCTATGATCAAATGCAGATCAAAATGCAGTCAAATGCAGATGTATAATCAAGGAAGGCACAGAGAACGTATTTAGCTTCTTTATTTAAACTAGAGACTATACTATGATGTAGGACAACAGCGGCATCTAAGGTACACATACTATGTTTATAAGCAAACTGGTCGGGGTCATTGAAAGGCTTTAAAGAGGGTTCATGATTAAGTAGAATAAGTCTATCCATAACTTGCAAAAAAGGTGAGGTAATAGCAATGGGTCTTAACTTAACATTAGGTCCACTTGTATATTTAGGCACTAGAACAATCTTGATATTTTTCCATGAGTCAGGTACAATACTTTTGGAAAACGATTCGTCGAAAATGTCAGTTAATGGGGAACATAAGATGTCAGCACACTTCTTAAGGATAACAGCAGGAACACTATCAGGACCAAGGGACTGAGTAGGTTTGAGGGATTAAGACACTTATTATTATTGATACAGACAACACGAGTCTACTATCCTTTATTATGTGAAACTCAAACCCTTTAGGTTCAGATTTCTATACAACGATATTAGTCATCACGTGTACGCTAATTTTTCTCGATGTCTTCGTCTACTCCTTCAGTCTTAGTCTACACGCAAGCTCGTAGAGTTCAAGAGAATTTCGCCCACGAACCCTACAATATATACGAGCTTTTCTGATCAAGATCTGGCTGAACATTTCCGCAAAAATTGAACATATGTGGTGCACAGAAGTTCGGTCCAGTTTAAGGAACGAAACGTTGGAATTAGCTAATTACATGTCACCGAAATCAGTGAAGACATATTTTTCGCATATAAAGATGGAATTATATATCTCCAAATATTTATCTAGAATGTCACCTAAAATGAACTCAAGTAATTGCTTATAATCTTGAAAAATACCAGTTCCCCTGGCCCACAATTATGGCCCATTTTAAAGTGAGTAATTTAATAAATAAAATACTCCCACTTGTAAAATTACCAAAATATCTATGGCGCTGGTGATAAAAATGATGCGAAATTTTGAGAAATCCTAATATACTACGGATGTGTGAAATATGTGTATGTCAGATGAACATAAGAACACTGTTTCTAAGAAGTCCAAAATGCCACAAAATACGACTCACTTTTGCAATAAAACTTCAAAGCATAGTGTTTAAAGAGACACACTCACCAACAGTTGTTAAAAGTATTTTGACAGTAGCGTCTACCTTAAAAATAGTGGCATCCAATATTGTTTTTTACTAGCTATTGTACATTGACTTGATTTATTTGTGCTCGCTTATTAGTTTTGAGGTTAAGGTTCCTGTCCTTCAGTAAAATCCTGCGTATTTCTTCCAGTCACTCGACTGATTTAGCTTTGTCAGACTCCAAAAGAAATGTCATTGATTATAAGTAGTTTAATAATAATAATAATAATAATTTATTTTCATATAAACATAAATTTACATGAAAATGCATGCCATTTTTACAGGCACGATCAAGGATGATATAATGTCAAATCTTAAATTGTCTACAAGTTAATAATGTCTCAACAGTTAAATATTTGATATATATATAAATACACATTGTTTGAACTAGGCTGTATAGTTATTGAATTGTACAATTGTCCTCCAGGTTGAGCGGGAAAATCGACTTCGTTTCGTTTTCATCCCGTGGTTGTAGGCATACGATAATCAACCAATATTGAGGTAAGTACAACGTTTACAAGGAATTGGAAGCTTTTTTAGAAAAATTAAAGTGCTGTGGTGTAACATTAAAGTGTAATAGATTAAGTGAGTGAAATATATCATTAATAAACACATTTATATAGAAAACAGAATGGGGAAGTAATTAATCCTTAGGCCGACAACGTTCATTTGCAATGTATAATGAAACCAATATATTTTATACTATCATGCGTTCACTTTTGGCTTTAATACAATTATTTTCAAGCCAGTTGTCTTTATTTCATGTCTTTTTTTCTATTTGGTACACAACCGTACCCTCCAGAGAATAGGAATAGAATAAGTCGAATCAAATTCATAAAGAGCTATAAAATGTTAGGTTTAATGGAATATAATGAGAATCAAGTAAAGACGTTATTAGAAAATAAGTGAGACAAGATATTTTGAAGTGGTATTTAAAGATCTGACAATGGATAGCAAGTTAATTCATAAGATGCCCCATAAATCTGTGCAGATCCCACGTGGTCGCATCTCAACAATAGGCTGAGCGAATGGTATATATTTAAAGGTAGAAGGTACTATGCGGAGAATGGAGTGGGTCCTTTCACTCTTCAGTAGTTTGCTGAGGTTTGAAAGACAGATGAAAATAGTGATAATAATTGATTTTGAGGGCCTAAAATTAAAAATCGAAGAAAATACAGAAGCTCACGATTAATGAAATTTAAAATTGATATGCATATATGTATATATATATATATATATATATACGTATATATTCAGTGCATATATATGCATATATATCAGTAATAATATTACCGTCTAAGGAGTTACACTTGTGGTAGACAGAGTAGTAAGAAAAGCGAGCATTGCGGCTTTGTCTTCTTTCGACAAAATAGCAGTGCCACCTTTTCGGTCTATACTGATAATGCCCGTATTACTCTATAGTAGTTTGTCAATGTCTAAAATGAATGTACCAGGCATTTCCTAATTAGTGACATATTGACCGTTTGGACCTACTAAGAGGCATGCCTTCTTTTAGGTAGGTTTTCTCACCGAATTGAATCGGTGCAGACATCTATAGCTTACTTGTAGTTTTATGGCAAGGTTCGCTTAAAATTACCTGTTCTCGAAAGAAGTATAGAACTTGGGAACTGTGGCAAAATATAAAAGTATAAGACTTGATATGATTATGTGCAATAGATTGCACTCGAAACGTCATCATTTAATATTACTGAATAGCACTGTGTGATTGATCGAAATAAAACCTCTTGTCGGTATTTACTCCCGCGTTGCACGGGTTCCATGTATGAATCGTTGTCACTGACGCTTGGAGATCCACCCCACAGACCAAGCCTACCACTTTGTTTGCGGAATACATCGCGTGCCTCTCTTCAGCCATGAGGACCTTTTCTTTGGCTGTGTTGTGAATAAATGGAAGGTATCTGAGAATATTGTGTAAAAGGTCCATTTTACCACTTCCCAATGTTTCTTCATGGATATCTCAGCCCAGTCTACAGGCCATACTGCGCTGGACAAATGTCCTCGCACCTCGATATAGTCAGCTTTCGCATATCACAGATACTGCCTCGTTTTATCATTCAGCACTTATTTATTCATTTTTCCACTTCTTTGAGTTGTCAATGGACTATGAAACTTCAAGCTAGAGAACTCCATATTAGTATATGTGTGGTAGTAACTAATTCCATATTAGTTTGTTTATTAGATAGATTTATCACACCGTGAGTGTAACAGCCTTATTTACTGGATAACGTTTCGAACAAAATTTATTGTTCATAATCATATCAATTATAATCACACGACTTCGAAACCTGAGTTTGATAGTTTTCTTCGTCCCCTCCTATTACCTCTACGAAACGTCATCCAGTAAATAATACTGTTTGACTATGTGATACATCTAATAAACACACCAAAATAGAATTGCTTACGACCACTTCAAGTCAGAGACTTTTAAAGTTTTCGCGGGAATGGTGTTTATTTTTGGGGGATGGGGTTACTAAAGTCACACCCAATTTTCCCTCTCCGCCAGGCTTATTATCAGTTGAGCGAGGTTTGGGAGTACTTCTGCTGGAAATTGAACACAGCTTGTAAGCATTCCACCTCAGCGCCTGCGAAGAAACGTTTTTATGATTTCGAATTATCCCACCGTCAGCACTCGAAGAATGTGAGAACAACTTCTGTGAATAAATGAACACAACTAACACAAGTGTCGAGATACAGTTATTTTCGACTGGTATCTAGTCACTAGATAGGATATCGCAAAGCTTGAAGTAATTCCCCAATATAAGTTAGGTGTGTACAACACCGAATCTTATTCTTGATTTATATCCAAATTTGCCAATAATTAAAATAAGTGATACAGTTGTATAGTTTTGTCAGCATTTTCATCGTAACATCACGAGTGAATTGTACTCAATGTAGAATAATAATGATAGTATGTATTTCCTTATAAACGGGTGTTTTCAAGAAATGCAAGCTATTTTTACAGATACGATCAGTTATAAGCTACGATCGTGAAGTATTATAAATTACTACTTTTTCGTTGGTATAAGGGTATATTCCAAAACTGTAATCCGGGTTGCGTCGTGGGGAGATGTAACGCGTAATTTAATGCGTAAGATATGGGGCCAATAATGTTTGCAGATCATTTGTCATTGTAAACGGTCAAATATCCATATTATTCATTCTCATTCAAAAAGTCAAATGGAAGCTAAAATGGTGAGAGATAAAAGAAGACAAACAACAGCAAAGCAAAAGAAAGCAAGAGGAGTCCTTAGGGAGTGATTAGTAAATATATACATATATATTCTGTTTAGTAACTATGATTATTTTTGTTCATTAACTAACTAGTCCCGTCATGCTAACTTTTATATTATGTGTGAACTAATATTACTGTCCTGTGTAGAAATGTTTATCATCTATTTCCAAAAATATTAAAATTTATAATTGTAGTTTGTTGTAACTACACGTTTAAAGAACTTAAAATATCTATGTAGGGTGAAAAAGAGGGTGTAAGAGTCAGATGTAGAAGTGCATTGTCATCTTTGAGCAGTCTGGTGACTGAGGAGATGAACACTGGAAGTGTGTTTGCATCGGGCACATTAGCTGGTAGTCTATTCCAAATGACTGAAAACTTATTCAAGAAGAAGTTGTACCGCACGTAAGTCTGACAGTGCTCTATAGCATCTAGGTTGTGATGATTTCTAAGATTGTAACTGATGACAGCGGTGGGTTTAGTTATTGGCTCGGAGGAATGCAAGAGAAGATTAGTTAGCTTATAGTAAAAGATGAGGTTTAGCTTAAGAAGTCTTTTCCAGAGGGGTTCTAATCTTAGTCTGTCGCATCGCTAATGGTTTTCCAGACCGCTTTTTAAACCAATAGAGAAGCCAGAGAGCGAAACGCAGTCAATTATGACGAAAGGGTCTCAGTGAAGTGGATATCGAGAAAACTTTATGGTTTCTAGTAATCAATACCAACCTTATGAGCGTGACAGCTTTCGTGGGACGTCTCCATCAGAAAGGTTACAAGTTGGGAGACAAACATAGTTGTTTTACACGTTTGCAAGAATTGCATACAAAAGAGTACTGCGAGTCAGTGAACAAGTTTAGTGGTAAGCTTAACGTGAAGTCAGCGTCATCAAGTTCTGACTCCACAAGTTTACAAGGTATTACTTGCATGAGTAAAGGTACAAAATCTTTAAGGATTCATGAGGAACAACCCAAATCGTCTACTGCTGTTATTAAAGAGTCTGAAATTGGTGAACTCGATCATACGAACGGCAGTAAAGTGGATGTTTGTGACAATGATCATGATAGTGCACATTTATTTTTGGCTGATCATGATGAGATGAGTGGAATGCCTACTTCTGCTGAGTTGAACAAAGGTTTTGTACAACTTGAAGGTGAAGTAGACTTAAAGGCAGATGCAGTTGCAGAAGGTATGGATACTGGATCAGCGTGTAGCCCATCTATCGACAGATGCTTAAGCTGAACTGGAGCTAATAATAGAAGATAGCAGTGTTAGTGCTCCCACGGTTAGACAACCTTCTAAAGGTCGAACAACAACAGCTTTTGACGTACCGCTAAGTTCATCAACTTTTATCACTCAGTCGTCGTTGGTGTTGTCATTCACAATGAAGGTGATGTCCATGAACTCAGGTATCTTTTGCTGTAACTATGCTAGTATCGGTCCGTTTGAAAGGAGGAAAGTCAATGGTCAGTCTAGTGATGGTAAGCCAACCGTGTATGAGAGGGCAATTGTTAAACTGATTTGCACGAATAAAGGCCTTTCAAGTTTCAAGTTACTATTTGAATGTAATTATCGTTGGTGTAAATTACTCTGTGCCTACGCTTGGGTGGTCAGATACGTCGTATGTTTGTTAGTCACCTACATTCCACAATACAATGACATGGGTATGTCACCATTCAGAGTTGAATATATAGATGGTTGAAGGAGGTCAGCAAATAAACTCAACGACGATTTTCCAACCTAGGGCGTCAACCTGAGAAGGGTTGTAGACGTATTGGTTTGAGTCCTACAGTTCTTCAGAGGAATAACATCAAGACGTGATCTGCGAGGTTATGTGCACTGTTTGTGTATATGTCCGGTGTTTCATATCAATTGGTGTTTTCGGATTCGCTGTGTTTACTTTTTATTTTCGTACCTCATTGTTTTGCATAATTTTGTTGAAATTTTTTCGTGCTTACTTCTGAAGTTGTTTCGAGTCTTCTACATCCATGA